TCCTAAGCGTGGTGTATTGTGGTGCTATTGTAGTTGTTTATAAATAAATGAATAATGGTCGGTCGTACATTTTTTTTAAGATACATAATGGTATTATTTTTATTTAATANATCTTACACTATATTGAATCATATGTGTAACGAAGGATTATAAGGTTAATGAGAATTCTGAATATAGCGAGGATAAGACTAAGACAGCTTTATCCCAGAGTAACATACTCTCCCATCAGTTCTAAATAAATACTTAAATAAGTTAGTCTTAGGAAAACTAATATTTACGATATTGTAGTTGCTTTCACAGTTAATACAAATATCTACATGACCCTTGTTTGGTTCTAGGACGGCGACGCTTTCGAAGTGATGCCCATTGACTACCAATCTGTCTTCTACGGCTGTTCCATCTTCGACCTGATCTGGATCACAATCACCAGCACAGACCAAGAATTCAGGAAAAATCACATGGAACACCTCAAAAACGTATATCATGAGTCCATGAAGGAGTTTTTAAAACTTTTCAACATTGACGTTGAACAATATTACCCGAGAGCAGAATTTGAAAGGCTTTACAAAGAGAAGCTTCCTCTTGGTCTGATGTTTGCACTGTGGTTTCTTCCAGGGCATTTGACGAACAATGATGATATTTTAAACAAAGATTTTTCTGCGTCGAGCTTCAAAAAGAGTGATGTGTTCGAAACAAGGATTCGGGGTATCGTAGACGATTACATAAAATGGGGCTATGTATAATAATCTTTATTTTTATACCAAAATTTTCACCATCATTTTTATGTCAATAATAGTCTGAAGAAATCTTTATTAATTAATGACTGTATAATGTATGGATTTTAAGACTTGTTACTGGTTCATTTATTAAATAAACAGCTACTACAAAATGTTGAGAATTATTCACCATTCACCATCCTTTGCTAATAATAAACTAATTTCTACCGGCCAATCCTGGTCATTCGATCATCATGGTCTATCCTGTCAATATAAAATATTAACAGATTGTGAGGATGGATGTACAGTCACGGAATGAAAAGGTTCGTCAGTTTTCAAATTGATTCCTTCAACGAATCGCGAGCACATATTACCTTTTGAAACTATGTTACAGAATAATCTCGAGTTATAGAAAATAATCTTTAACACTTCTTCAGTAAAGTTCAAAATTATTCAGATCAAAGTTGTTTGACGATTTATCTTGTCAAGAAGATTATTATGATTGATAAACTAAAACCTTCTTGTTGGTTCAACCTGTCATTATCTATTAAATAAAAAAAAATACATTTTGTAACATTGCACTGATGGGATAGAAAAATAAACAAGCAAAACCTTATTCGTTAGCAAACGTCATATTTATTTAAATGTTAGTAGCACTGTTTCTTGCACGGTTATGTTGGCAGGTTTGACTATTCCAGTGCAAGCGAAAACCGACACTAAGGTGACGAACCTTTTCATTCCGCGACTGTACAAGGGGCATGTCAAATGTTTTAGATACTCTTACTTTTTTAAAACTATCTAACATGGAAATTGAAAAATATTAATTACTCGTAAGCAGAATTTGAGATCTTTTCTCTATAATATTAGTAGATCTAATGTTGTTATAATCCAGATATGAAGGGGTGAGTGGACAAAGGTGTTATCTGACAAAACTGAATAATTGACTTTTTTGCATGAACATAGGTTTTAAGTGATGATAAAATCGACTAATGAGCTCAAAACACGCAATTTTGTTACGTGTCAAACCTTAACAAAGGTGTTATCTGACAAGCATTCATACATTTCAGGATTCAAATGTGGTACGAGCAGATTCACATTTTCAAACACTCATAACTCATTTTGTTAGTTAAGACCTTTGTCCACTCAGCCCTTCATAATAATATATGAAATAAATAGATTCCCAATATGTTTTTAAAGATCAAAGATAAAGATAAGTTAAAATATAAAAATACGATTATGTTAGGCGACAAGCTACAATCACAGATAATATACACAATGGTTGGTCTCCAATGGATCGATGGGGATCGAACTAGAGTTCCTCGAAAGTAGAATCAACTTATTCTGTGGTAATCAGCAGTCTGACACTGACACCGTACATTGCCCTAAGCGTCAGACTCAGACCCCCTTTGGAAATTTTCTAAACATCTAAGGGTCCTTTCATTAGTTTTGCTGGATCCCGTAAAACTGATCTATTGAGTGAACTACAAAGACAACTGTGTGTTGAAGTTCGAATTCAATATTCCCTCAGAGCGGTTTTTTGAGAGACACTGCCAAGGAGATGTTCGTGTGAATGTTAAAATACATAAACTACTAAAGGGGATCCTGTAAAAACAGTTCTTGCAAAAAACGGTGTCTTCGTGGGAATAAGCCCTAATACTTATTCTGTGCTAATACTGCTATTTGGTCCAGGAGTTCTGACGTTTACGTCATAGGCCACCTAGTAGTAGTGTAAATAGTTGTGTTAAACACCAACACACGTGTGTGGCGAATTATTGGATTTAACAATTGGTTTGTCGTAAAAATATCGATTAGTGTGTCGAATTTTGAACAAAAGATGATTGTTAGATGCAAAAATACACAATTTTTACGTCTATTCTTCAGTATTTTAAGACTTTTATCTGACACACAATCTACACTTGCTTGAAGTCATAAATACCTAATAATCCAAAATTTGAAATCTTTTAATAACAAACCATTCTATCTTCTATTTCGAAAAATTCTTAGATACCTATAGGTACCAATAAACTCACGTAATTATTACAATATTCACCAATTTAAGTCATCTTGTGGTATTTATGATACCTCTTGTTTAAAAAAAACATTAGAAAAAATATTTGTACAGAATTGTGATATCTCGTAATTAGGGCACATTTATGGCTACATAATAAATACAAAAGTAATATTTTATGTTTATTTTACGTAATGCATAGCATAGAAAATGTCTTTTCGTGTCTTGATGCTTAACACATGAGCACGACTTCTGTGTTCGACGTCCATGTCGTCCATATTTTGCAGATGCAGTAAGTAATCATGTTGTCGATAGATTAAATTCTCTGCGTTGTTCGCTGAATTTGCCATTTAAGCAAAGAATGTCCCAAAAAGACCATGCTGAACTTAAAAAAAAAAGATATAATATGTATGAATGAACATCAAGACAAAAACGATGATACCTATAGAAGCCTTTTTTCTAGATGGTCATCCATAACTTTGTCTTTTCCTTAAGTTTGGCACGGCTTTTCATGACACCCATACTCATTTATTAGCTAGACAAAAACCCATTTTATGAGGTATACGGTTAATATCCTTTTTTTTTTGTCGCGGAGGAAATGCTTTGCGCACCGTCACCACTGCCGGGGGACAGGATGGTGTGTGGGACTCCCGGCGCCCTGAAAAGGGCGCTGCTCCATCCTGAAAAGGACGGGGTATACCCACTAAAACCTCCGCGGCGTTCCGTCATCGCCCGAGTGGGGGTGTCGCGAGTATCCGGCCGTAGCCTTAGACTTCCGCGACACCACCGGCGACAGCCCGCCTACACGGCGGACCCTGACGGGAATGGCCCGAAACGCCAAGCCGTTCCCGTCAGACGGAGGTGGCAGGGGTGCCCCCGCACCCCCGTACGGTTAATATCCTGGTGCTAAAGTATTTATTATATTTTTTATTGTGATATTGAGAGAACAGCCAAACCACCCCTTACACTTTCCCTATATTTTCGTTATTTTATTTTTTTTCCAATCTAATGTGACTTTGCATTATTTATGTTTTAGATTAGAAATATTGCACTAAACTATGACATGTACATCAAGAAAGCAAGATATCCTGCCCCCTAAATTACAAGAAGCAATAAAATCAATTATTAAAAATGAAGATTTTATAGCTTTTAATATAAATATGTAAAGAAAATTGAAACACGCATAGGTTACGTTGGTGTTTATAGAGAAATAAACATAAAAGGAGATAACAAAAATGGTAGTAAAATACTCCAGTTATTTACCAAGACTAAACCGGATGATGTTTATATTGTAACAAATTCGTTTGATAAAGCATTTTCGACGCCCTATGCATACAAGAAAGAGACTTTTATGTACTCTGAATTTAGCAAAACTATCAATGAGGTGCAAGAAGAAGCCAACATACCTGTCAGAGAGCGATATACACTTGCTAAGAGCTATGCTAGTACAGATTCAGACACAATCATACTGGAGAACTTAACAACAAAAGGTTTCGAAGTTATTCCACAACAGGAAGTGATAACACTAAAATTTGCAGAATTAGCAATAAAGAGTTTGGCAAAATTCCATAGTTTAGCATTCATACTTAAAGAAAAACGTACAAAATTCTTCGAGAATTTGGTAAAAATGATGAAACAATCTATGTTTTATGGTACGAAACAGTATAATAATTTTCTGGAAACTAAAAGCCAAATAGGTATAAATTGTCTGAATCCAGAACTGAGAACGAAGATGCAAGAATTCGTGCTGACTACATTTGACAAATACGAAAAGTATACTCAAGATCCGAAGGACACATGGACCCTGGTGCATGGAGATTACAAAACCAGTAATATTATGATCCAACTCCAAGTAAATATTTTACGACAAATCATTTAGTAACCTAATCGTATTAAACTATAATTATTAATCCTAAGTGTCATTTATCAAATCTTGAGCGAGATTGTTTCGAACATAAGTTTCACACGCACAACATTGCTGGTGCAGGTAGTAAAATAAATTGTTTTTTATTTTTAGGATGGCGAAGTATTTGACGTGATGCCTGTTGACTTTCAATTTTCCTACTACGGCTGTTCCATCTATGACCTAATGTTTTTTATATTTTCTTGCACCGATCAAGAATTTAGGAAAAGTCACATGGAACACCTTAAAAATCTGTATCACACAACTATGCAGCAGTTTTTAAGCCTATTCAACATGGACGTTGAAGAATATTACCCGAGAGCAGAATTTGAAAGGCTTTTTAAAGAGAGACTGGATCTTGGCCTAATGTTGTCACTGTTTATACTTCCCATGCTATTCAATGTACAAGATGTATCGACAGCAAAACAGAATAAATTGCTCTGTAAAAGGATGCGTGGTATCGCGGACGATTTCATACAATGGGGCTACCTATAGAGAAAAATATATTTTTGTGATTAAATAAATCCTAAGCGTGGTGTATTGTGGTGCTATTGTAGTTGTTTATAAATAAATGAATAATGGTCGGTCGTACATTTTTTTTAAGATACATAATGGTATTATTTTTATTTAATATTTTATGAAACTTTAGTATCGTCAGCCAGTATAATGTGAGTACCACATTACTGTAACGATATTGCTTGCTAATTACCTTTATCATCATCATCATAAATCAGCCATTGAATTCCACTTCTGAACTATTGTAAACACTAAATCACCGTAATTAACTAATTAATTAAAACTTTTTAGTTGATACCTTCTGGTCAATATTTTCCTATAAATACTTTTTGAAAGCAGCTAGCTGCCATAGACATTCAGCCCTTCGGTAGTCTAAGACAGTGTTGTGAATATATTTTTACCCATTACACTTTGCAGCGCAGTCGGTAGGAGGAGTGTTCTAAGGAGGACCTTTGGGCATCATGCCAGTCCAGCTTCCATCACAAGGGAAACCAAGGAGTTTTAGAGTGTAAGTAAAAACATGCAGTTATTTAACTTTTTTTAAATGAGGAAGTCTAGAAATGTCAGAGCGCGTTGCTCATTGAGATAAAAGAAGACAATTCGTCGCCTATGCTGCAAAGGTGCGAACACCTTACAAGTGGTCAAATTACACAGAATGGAGCAATTCTTTAGGTACTATAATAATATGTCGTTTTTTGCTCTCCTGTATAATTTCACAAAAAAGGTTCGCACCTACGGCATTGGCGACGAATTGTGATGAAGCAATAAGCTGGTCAATCCAGATTATAAAGATATTCTACTTTCCATCATCGAGACTAAAGTAACTAAAGTGTTGGCTTGGAAACTCTGGAAAAATTCATGACCTTGTTAGGACTACGAAACCCTAAAAGCAGTCTTCTTTCGTTTATTTCAAATACCAAAGAAAAATTTGAAGAACATGTTATTTGATGGACAAAAAAATAAATAATTATCACTTTTTTGTGTTTTACAGAAAAATGACGTCAAGTCAACAAGAAGTGCTTCAGTCATCCAAATTACAAGAAATGATTGAAACTATAATTAAGAATGAAAATTTCATACATCATCATATACATATCAAGCCAATAAAAGTGAAAAATAGCTACGTTGGTGTTTATAGACAAATAAATATAAGAGGAGAGAACAAAACGGGTAAAAAGGAACTGCACTTATTTACTAAAACCATGCCTCATAAAGATTACGTTGAAACAAAAGGATTCGATGAAATGTTTTCAATAACATATGCATATAGTAAAGAGGCTTTTATGTATTCTGAATTTAGCAAAACTATCAATGAACTGCAAGAAGAAGTCAACATACCTGTCAGAGAGAGATATACGCTTGCTAAGAGTTATGCTAGCACAGATTCAGACACCATAATATTTGAGAACTTAACAACTAAAGGATTCGAAATGTATCCACCACAAGAAGTGATAACACTAAAGTTCGCAGAGCTAGCAATCAAGAGTTTGGCAAAGTTCCACAGTTTTGCCTTCATACTCAAAGAAAAGCGTATAAAATTCTTTGAGGATTTAGTAAAAATCATGAAACAACCATTCTTTTACGATACGAAATCGTATAATAAAGTTTTGGAGACCAAAAGCCAAATAGGTATAAATTGCCTGAATCCAGAACTGACGAAAAGGATGCAAGAATACGTGCTGACGACATTTGACAAATACGTAAAGTATATTCAAGATCCAAAGGACACGTGGACTCTGGTGCATGGAGATTACAAAACCAGTAATATTATGGTCCAACTCAAGGTAAATATTTTACGACAAATCTTTTCAGTAATTTTCTGGGTTGCATCATCTTAGGTACTTTAAGTTTAACAAACGTCAGTCAAGCTCCATACCTAAAACACTTTAATGGTAACCGGTAACCGGTTATGGTTAATGTTACGGTTAACGTCAAGTGGTGCAACTCAGCCTAAATAATACTAAGCTGTTGCTTTTATTACATAATATGATTTTATATTTTAAAATAAAATATTTTTTTATCTCCTAGGTGAAGTAAAAATAACCATAAACAGGGCTAAACATAATAATAAGATAATAATTTACTTGAATTTTAACAATCTGTTAACTACTTACTGTGTTCTTGACCGGACTTTTTGTTGGGAACATAAGTTTCACATGCACAAAATTGAGATTAGATAATCAAAATAATCTAATGTATATTTTCAGGATGGTGACGTCTTCAATGTGATGCCCGTTGACTATCAACTTTCCTTCTATGGCTGCCCTATCTTTGACCTGATGTTATTTATGTTTTCTTGCACCGATCAAGAATTCAGGAAAAATCACATAGAATACCTCAAAAATCTGTATCACATATCTATGCAGCAGTTTTTAAGCCTTTTCAACATGGACGTTGAAGATTATTACCCGAGAGCAGAATTTGAAAGGATTTACAAAGAGAGATTTGATCTTGGCCTAACGTTAGCACTCTTTATGCTTCCGATACAATTTAATGAAGACGATGCATCGACGTCGAATCAGAATCATGTGCTCTGCGAAAGAATTCGTGGAGTCGTGGACGATTACATACAATGGGGCTACCTATGAAGAAAAATAATTATAATTTATATTTTATTGTTACTGAAATCATTAACGCGATGTGTTGTGGTACTATTGTGTTAATTTTTAAATAAATGAATAATGGGCATAAAAAAGTTTTTTGAATTGGATAATTTTAGATTACATGTCACACATAAAATTGCACTTTTCAGATATTAATTAATTGCAGATAATGATTGTGTGACTAAAATACATTGAACATGCATTCAATATTTACGTAACTACTGTGTAACTACTTTCTTAAGTCTATTTTCAAATTCAAATTTTTTATTGCAAATGTCATAAATACGATAGTCAATACCATCAAAAATTAACTTCAATTAAAAATTATTAATGTAAGTAATTATAAATTATTAACAAGTGCTATTAATAAATTCCATGCAAAGTAGTGTATTTTATAACTAGAAAAAAATCTTTACCTAGGTACTTAAAAAACAAGAAAAAATGGATTTTATCATTAGACACCTATAAACATTATGTTAAGGGTAACAAATAAANAACATTGTAATAAATAATAGATCACAGTTTTTAGAGAATGCATGCGGTGTTCCGCAAGGTAGTGTTTTGGGACCTCTACTTTTTATACTTTACATAAACGACCTTCCTGATGTAACAAATCATAGATGTACACTTTTTGCAGATGATGTTTCGGTAGTAATCCCGTCCANCAAATAAATTTGATTTATACAAAATGATCTAATATTACCTAGTTCTCAATTTGCCTCCGGTAAAATACAGAGGGTCACATTCACATACCTACTAAATGACCTGATAATTATTATAATTTCGTAGCCACCTTAAGACAGGGGTAGATGGGAAACGTTATAAATCACCACCAAAGATCAATGCAGTGCAGAAGTCGATCTGTTTGTTCCCGTGTTATTATAAATTAACTAGGTAGTTTGATTAATCTCTCGTTAATTTCAATCTTGAAGTATGTTTCAAACAAAAATATGAATTCAAGAAGCAGATAAAAAAATTTTGGGCATTATCATAGATGATAACTGTGGCTGGAAGCAGCAAATAGGAGCATTACGGGATAAATTAAACCGTTATGTATTTGTTCTGAGAAGACTGCGCTACTCTACACATCTACCTGAATGCTTGTCTGGCAGCATATCATGGATATGTCGGCTCAATTCTGAGGTATGGACTTTTGGTTTGGGGAAATTCTACTGACATGAATTTATTATTTAATTAAAAAAATGCGTAATTTGTGGTATGTCCCCTCGTCAATCCTGTGAGCCTGTCTTTAGAAAGCTACAAATATTGCCCCTACCTTGTCTACATCCTTGAGGTAACTTTGTTCTTAAAAAGTAATATTAATTTATTCAAAAAGCAAAAGGATATGGTTAACTTCAATGTTAGAGATCCTAGTCATTTAGTACAATAATATGATAGCTTACCAAAACTTAAACATTATCTTGATCAGTGTGGTATGGGCCATGTGTGTTAAGGTATACAATTCTATCCCGAACCATATTAAAAACATACCAAATTCAAGCTTCAAAAGATCGCTTGTAACATGAATGACATTGACATGAATTTTCATAGAGTTCATGACATTCATAATAATATGAGACTTATTAGGAAATTTTGACTAATTATTCTTGACATGATAATTTTAATTTAAGACTTATTTTAATTGGAAATTTCACATTAATAATTAATCTATAATTTTTTTGTTTAATTAGTTACACTATTAAATTGTAAATATTTGCATGCCATTAATAAGGTAAATCACGTGGTAGATCACCAATGAGATGGACGGACCAGTGTACCTACCATGAGTTTATGTTAGGTGTGCTCGCTAGCGAGTACGTCAAAAATCTCTATGAAGATTTTGTTTCTTGAAAGTAGCCGCTAGGGGCGCTGCACAATATGTCAAACAATTAATGTCATTTTTTTACGCAGTCGCTAGCGAGCACACCTGACATAAACTCACAGATCAAGGCCGCAACTAAGTGCTCGGTTAGCGAAAGTACCCGGAAAACTGCAGTCCGCGAGGAATGGCGCCGTATTACGAGGAACATCACTCTGAATCGTGATTCAAAATGATGACCACGACCACTCTGACAAGAGTGTACCGACTGAGAAGAAGAATAAGGTAAAACATGAGCACAGTTTATAATTAATATTATTATCCATTACCATTGTACCACCGTGTTTTAAGCAAATAAATTTATTTGGTTTCATTTCATTTCATTTCATTTATGACGACAATGCAAACACTTCCTCCTAAATTACAAGAAGCAATAGAAACAATTATTGAAAACGTGAATACAGATAACAGCCCTGTAAGTATGTATAGGGAAATCAATATTGTAGGAGAAACAAAAATTTAATTGAGGAAGTTCAGCTATTTGCTAAGTCTAAGCCTGACGTTGCATTTAACGTAGTATTTTCAGTACTAGATGCATTATAGTAAAGGGACTTTTATGTAAGTATTCTGAATTTAGCAAAACTATTAATAAAGTANAGATCCTATTCATTTACTATAATAATATGATAGCTTACCAAAACTTAAACATTATCTTGATCAGTGTGGTATGGGCCATGTGTGTTAAGGTATACAATTCTATCCCGAACCATATTAAAAACATACCAAATTCAAGCTTTAAAAGATCGCTTGTAACCTGAATGACATTGACATGAATTTTCATAGAGTTCATGACATTCATAATAATATGAGACATAATAGGAAATTTTGACTAATTATTCTTGACATGATAATTTTAATTTGAGACTTATTTTAATTGGAAATTTCACATTCATAATTAATCTATAATTTTTTTGTTTAATTAGTTACAGCTATTAAATTGTAAATAATATTTGCATGCCATTAACAAGGTAAAACATGAGCACAGTTTATAATTAATATTATTATCACCATTGTACCACCGTGTTTTAAGCAAATAAATTTATTTTATTTCATTTAATTTATGACGACAATGCAAACACTTCCTCCTAAATTACAAGAGGTAATAGAAACAATTATTATTACTGAAGATTTTGTTGGTTATAATAATACTTACAAGGCTGTTATCTGTATTAGTAAACGTGAATACAGATAACAGCCTTGTAAGTATGTATAGGGAAATCAATATTGTAGGAGAAACAAAAATGGAATTTTATTAAGGATGTTGTTGGTGCTTCTCGGGTCCTCGGGCTTCATCGACATCGATCGGCCATCATCGGCTCCGCGCGAGGCGCCGGCACACTCCGTACGTGCCCGACGCCCACTCAGCTTCACGACCGTCACCGGTGTCAGACGCGGCCCTCCCACGTAGGCGCGAACTAGCGATATAATATTTTATAATCATTACACCTATGAAATACAGTCCGCCTTTAATTTATATCTTAAGTCTAGTAAGACCCTAACAGAAGTTCAGCTATTTGCTAAGACTAAGCCTGATGACAAGGACGTTGCATTTAACGTGGTATTTTCAGTACTAGATGCATTATAGTAAAGAGACTTTTATGTATTCTGAATTTAGCAAAACTATTGATAAAGTGCAGGAAGAAGCCAACAGGCCCGTTGAAAAGAGACGCTTACTAAGAGTTGCTAAGAGAGAATCTGCTAGCACAGATTCAGACACAATCATAATGGACTTAACAGCAAAAGGCTTCGTTACCATTTCACATCAAGAAGTGAGATTTGCTGAATTAGCAATACGAACTTTGGCAAAGTTCGACAGTTTTGTTTGATCGACGTCCTAGCTAGATTGATGAGGAGAGTGGTGTGATGATCGGTACCTAGAACCTACCGGGTTATTTTGCTTTAGGTTCACGTAATTATTTTCAATAAAATATTTTTACAAAANCTTATAAAAACTTACTTAATTTTTTAAGATTCATTAACTGCTGAAGAATTTAAACACACAAAAACTGAAAGACCAAAAAAGAAAATTTTAAAAATGATTTGATTTAAATATTTTTTATCGAGGGACTCTAAAGGACGAAGCACACTTATCAACCCGAAAACGGATCGTGTACGTATCAACTCGAGGCGGTCAGTATTCTTTGTATGAATTTCCGTACTATAACGCACGCTTATCCGCACCGTAGCGTAAACGCCACGCCTCGCGACGAAAGGCGATACGTTCTTGATCCATTTCTGGGTTGATAAAAATGTGCTATGACCTTCAAATGACCCACACTATTACTTATTTCACAGGTCAAGGTACAAGGAATTTAGGTATATTATGAAGTTTTCTAATCGCATCTTCGATCCTAACATTGCAATGCTTAAATCCAAGATCTGTACGGCGTAGGTATGAAATTATTATAATGAAAATATTAAAATAATTTAGAATGTGTCTTGTCTTGTCTTACATTTTTATTTAAGGTGTTTTTTATGGTACTATTTTTATTAATTAAGGAACTTTGTTATCGTCAGCCAGTATAATGTGAGTACTACATTACTGTAACGATATTGCTTGCTAATTACCTTCATCATCATCATAAATTAGCCATTGACTTCCACTTCTGAACTTAGATATCACCCAATGATTTTCATAATGATCACTAATATTGTAAACACTAAAAATCACCGTAATTAACTAATTAATTAATACTTTTTAGTAAATACCTTCTGTTCAAATTTTTCCTATAAATACTTTTTGAAAGCAGCTAGCTGCCATACACATTCAGCCCTTCGGTAGTCTAAGACAGTGTTGTGAATATATTTCTACCCATTACACTTTGTGGCGCAGTCGGTAGTAGGAGTGTTCTAAGGAGGACCTTTGTGCATCATGCCAGTCCAGCTTCCATCACAAGGGAAACCAAGGAGTTTTGGAGTGTAAGTAAAAACATGCAGTTATTTAACTTTTTTTAAATGAGGAAGTCAATGAGCAACGCGCGAGTTATAAGAAGACAATTCTTCGCCTACGCCGCAAAGGTGCGGACACCATACAAGTGGTCAAATTATACAGAATGGAGCATTTCTTTAGGAACTATTATGTCGTTTTTTGGTCTCCTGTATAATTTTACAAAAAAGTTTGGTCCCTTTGCAGCGTTGGCGACGAATTGTGATAAAGCATTATGCTAGTTAATCCAGATTATAAAGATATTCTACTTGTTGAACTGTTGTTTCCGATTTTCGCCATGTTAAACAGTCGTATGATTAAGACATTTGCAGGAGGGCTACACTGTGATCGTTACTTTAATATTTATTATAGTTCAATAACATTTTATTTATTTTTATTTTTTCCCGTTTCGTTGACTCAACACGTCACCCACACATTGATGGCTTCAGGAGCATACACACAACACAATTACACATTCTTAATTTAGTATTTTTCTTGATTTTGTCTTTAGCTTTAGCTTAGTGTCTGTAATGTTATTTTATTTTTATTTATTTGCAACCAGTTTGTTTATATGTCAGCAGAGCGCCACGCGGAGCCTCGACTGTTGGGCATCCCTTCTCCGCTCTTGAATCTATTAAAGTTTTAATAATTAGTTTATGTTTGGCGGACGCGGTTTGGGTCCCAACAGCCGAGGCCTAGGGAAGGGTACTCGCTGAAAATCAGCGTCGGGACATTTAACTTATGTCCCGAGTATCGCTGAGCGGGCGCCTTTTTGGCTCGGGATTTTACTGGTCTGGCTGGATTAATTTACTGTTTTTTATTTTTCTTTTTTAATGTACTTTTTTACACTTGTGATTGTCATTGCTTGTCCCGTGCCAAATAAAGATTTTATTAATTTTAATACTTTCCATCATCGAGACTAAAGCTCGATTCACACATATCAGTGAAGCCACAGTTCCGTCACAGTGTCCGCTGAGTTCAGTATAAGTGCTATTAGTATTGCGTCAGTGAAATATTTTGAATATTTTAAAATTTCAGAGAGCTGTTTCAATATTCTTGTTCAGAAACTATGAAATAAGTAGTTAATTTTGTTTTTGATGCCGCGGCGGCGTCCGTGATCCGAAACAAAATATGGTCGTCAACGAATACGTCCGTAATTGCCGTAATGCCGGTGTCGGCACTGACACTGAGAGCACTGTGTCCTCACTGACACTGACAAGTGGGGATGCGTTCATAGAAATTGTATGAAAGAATATTTCGCACTGTGCCGGTACTGAGTCTGAACTGTGACTTCACTGATATGTGTGAGTCGGCCTTAAAGTAACTAAAGTGTTGGCCTGAAAACTTTGGAAAATTCATGACCTATGTTAGGACTACGAAACCCTAAATAAAAATTAACACTTTTTTGTGTTTTACAGAAATATGGCGTCAAGTCAACGAGAAGTGCTTCAGTCATCCAAATTACAAGAAATGATTGAAACTGTAATTAAAAATGAAAATTTCATACATCATCATATACATATCAAGACAATAAAAGTGAAAAATAGCTACGTTGGTGTTTATAGACAAATAAATATAAGAGGAGAGAGCAAAACGGGTAAAAAGGAACTGCACTTATTTACTAAAACCATGCCTCATAAAGATTACGTTGAAACAAAAGGATTCGATGAAATGTTTTCAATAACAGATGCATATAGTAAAGAGGCTTTTATGTATTCTGAATTTAGCAAAACTATCAATGAGGTGCAAGAAGAAGTCAGCATACCTGTCAGAGAGCGATATACGCTTGCTAAGAGTTATGCTAGCACAGATTCAGACACCATAATATTTGAGAACTTAACAACTAAAGGATTCGAAATGTATCCACCACAAGAAGTGATAACACTCAAGTTCGCCGAGCTAGCAATCAAGAGTTTGGCAAAGTTCCACAGTTTTGCCTTCATACTCAAAGAAAAGCGTATAAAATTCTTTGAGGATTTAGTAAAAATCATGAAACAACCATTCTTTTATGATACGAAATCGTATAATAAAAATTTGGAGACCAAAAGCCAAATAGGTATAAATTGCCTGAATCCAGAACTGAGAAAAAGGATGCAAGAATACGTGCTGACTACATTTGACAAATACTTAAAGTATATTCAAGATCCAAAGGACACGTGGACTCTGGTGCATGGAGATTACAAAACCAGTAATATTATGGTTCAACTCAAGGTAAATATTTTAAGACAAATCTTTTAAGTAATTTGCTGGGTGCAACTCAGCCTAAATAATACTAAGCTGTTGCTATTATTACATAAAATGATATTATATTTCAAAATAAAATATTTTTTCTATCTGCTGGTGAAGTAAACATAACCATAAATAGGGCTAAAGACATTTACTTGAATTATAACAATCTGATAACTACTGTGTTGTATGTACTCAAAATAATCTAATGTATATTTTCAGGATGGTGACGTCTTCAATGTGATGCCTGTTGACTATCAACTTTCCTTCTATGGCTGCCCTATCCTTGACCTGATGTTATTTATGTTTTCTTGCACCGATCAAGAGTTCAGGAAAAATCACATGGAATACCTCAAAAATCTGTATTACACATCCATGCAGCAGTTTTTAAGCCTTTTCAACATGGACGTTGAAAATTATTACCCTAGAGCAGAATTTGAAAGGATCTACAAAGAGAGATTTGATCTTGGCCTAACGTTAGCACTATTCATGCTTCCGATACAATTTAATGAAGATGATGCATCGACGTCCAATCAGAATCATGTGCTCTGCGAAAGAGTTCGTGGAGTCGTGGACGATTACATTCAATGGGGCTACATCTAAAGAAGATGACATTTTTGTGGTTATTTAAATAATATTGTTAGCGTGACGTGTTGCGGTGCTTTTGTTCTTCTTTGTAAATAAAGTGATATGTACATACATAAATGTTTTTTTTTTTGCATTAGACAGTCATTTTGTTACGCTGTGGTACATACAATTGCACATTTGTATTTCTAAAAGAAATTATTAATTAGTTTCAGATAAGGATTGCTGTGATTAACATACATTAAATTTTACGTAACTGCTGCTGCAGTATAAGTATAAATGCAAACCTCTTTTATTGTAGGTACATTCTGAAGTAAAAATAAATGTAATTTCAACTTAACTTTAGCTTAAAGTATCTCGTAATTCGATACCGTCAAAATATTGCTTCAACTCAAAATAAAGGAATGTAAGTGTAAATTTTTAAATATTTCACGAGTGCCAATAAATTCCAGAAGTAGTGTAGTTATGGTTTATACGAGCATTTAGAAAAAATAAATCGATATTTTTATAAAAAGAGGAATAGGAATGCTCTAATTTTAATTCATATTAATTTATTCATTGCATCATGTAGTACATTGGATGTTAAATTGTAGTTTCTTAGAGCTAAACCCTCTATTTCTCCATTTGCCTCCTGATACTTCATTATCATCAGAAAATGACCATCTGCAAATGAACAAAATATCATTTGCAAATGACCTGATGATGATTCTAGTAAGAAATGCCATTAATAATCACCTCTAAACATCAATGTAATGCAATATGTATACCTACACTACCTACCTACAGTTTGACTTTGCCAACAGTATTCATTTTATTAATAAGCTCAATAAAGCAATTTAACAATACAAACTTTATCTTAATTATTTTTAAGCGTGGTTTTAAAAATTGAAAATCTGTGTCCATTTACTGTCTTAAGTGTAAGTAAGATTTAGACCCGATTCGACCAAACTTTTATCCGAGAATAACTCCTGGTATAACTGGCACATTGTCAGTTTCAGTATGGGAAATATGTTAAAATTGACGATTTATTCTGAGATTACTCTTGTTTGGTCGAATCCACTCTTAGTAGTTTTTGAACGAATTAAATTAAGCACCATAAGTTCACATAGTGACATTTGTTATTAAAATACAGCGCGTATCTGACGACTTGTAAAAAAAATTAACTGAAGTTCTGGCTAGAAGTCTAGATTACAAAAAAAAAATGTTTTTTTTAATAAATTCTTATGTGAATGAAATTAGCATACCACAAACCAGTCCGCGAAAGGACCGAAAACCATTGTTACCCCAGCCGATTATGATTATGACTTACAGGTTACAACACTGATGTGTCAGAGACAAGATGGAGATAACACATAATTTTAAACGTCAAGTCAATTTGACAAGTCTCTAAAATTTTCATCGTCCACGTATTTTGCTAAAATAATTTGTTTCAAAGATTGATTTCTAATCGTGAGAATAAAGTTGGTTTCATGGGCTTGTTAAATAATGTGCATGATTTTATGAACACGTAAGTGATTACGGTGTAATTGTGTATGAAAGTGTTTGTTTACATCTCTGCTGGATTCTAAAAAATCAAGCTATACGCAGAGTAGCATGTCCAGTTGGCAACTGAGTGCGCGGGAACGAAAACAGCCAGGCGCGGCGCGCGGCGCGCAGAGCACAATCAAATGGACGGCGGCGGCGGCTTCTCAAACGAGCCGCCGCCGACGTGGCGGTGTTTGTTAGAAGCGCGCGCGCTGTGGATTCGGGTAAAGCCGCGTTTACTATGACAACGCGGTTACTATGAGTCAAGAAAAGTGAGGATTATTCGGTAAAAAATAAGTACTATTTTTTTATTGATTCGGAATCAGAATCGTTAACTGAGTTCCCTCTTTAATTTTTTTACACGCCGTCAGATACACGCTGTATTTTCTTAATGCACAAATAGAAATAAGTTACACCTATTATTTTTATTGCAGATAGAATTATTGCTAATGAAGTGTAATTAAATTAGCTTATCACTATTTTGAATTATCACGACACACATTATCATTATCACGACAAACAAGTACAATTAATAGCCTATTAACTTTCTTCGCAAAATTAAAACATAGTTTGCCGCGCGACTTCTTTTTATGGGACAGGAGGCAAACGAGCAAACGGATCACCTTATGGTGAATGATTACCGTCGCCCATAGACACCCGTAGTCCCGGGGGCATTACAGGTGCGTTGACGGACATAAAGGTGTAAATACGCTCTCTTCTTAAAAATTTGTATGTAGGTCGTATTATTGAATGACCAGTGGTCATTGACCACATCATAATTCATTAACAAATTTGAATTTTATTGTAATAAAGCATACCTACATAATTAATAAAGCACTTTACCTATACAAAAAGTATAAATTACCACATTATCATACTCAAAATATAAAAATTCCAAAATCCACGCGTGTGATATAAATACTCGTAAAACTTGTGCCTAAATTTTATTTAAAAATATTGAAAAGACCTCAATATAAAACTTTTTATATTAACTTTTAAGTGCTAATAAGTTTGTGTGTTTAAATGATATAAATATAATCTACACCTATAAAAGCGAAAGGTCACTGACTAACTGACTCACTGACTCATCACGAAATCTCAGAAATGCTAGAAGTCTCAAAATGAGGGTTCCTTTAAGAACGTAGGTGCTCACTAAGACGGGATTTTGCAAAATGCAACCCCTAAGGGGGTAAAACGTGGCATCCACGCGTACGAAGTCGCGGGCGGCCGCTAGTTATATGATTATAAGCTGACCTTGGAATTACCTTATAATCTACAATTAGGTACTAAAACTGCCATTATATTTATCACTTTTATGTTGTTTGTGTCTCATTTTGTCTTTGCTTACATTTATTCACTCGAGCGAGACCAGTCGGTCTAAGAAGTTGTGTGCGTGGAGATTAAAATAATAAAGAAAAAAAGAATTGTCAATAACCTTTGTAAGTACCTAACATTAGATTAATACTTAAATCCCTATAAATAATAAATAATAGAATTTTGTAGTTATAGCCGACATATTCAAGGAGGAGGTTCTATGTTCCACTGTATGTTTTAACGTTTCTTTACCGATTCGTTCGTTCATTTCAGCCAAATAACGTCCACTGCTGGACAAAGGCCTCCTCCAAGGTTTTCCACAATGCACTTTCTTTACCGATTACTTCGACAAAATTTCATTGTGGTCTGATTTTCAAAATTATATTTTATTCGGTACCGGTACCATATCATGCACTTCTGAGGTGTTCCTATTGTCGCCAAATTAAGATCGGATGATGGAATCATAGAGAAATCAGAGGAAACCCTCATAAATATTACCTTATATTATTAAATTTATTTTTAAGTTATTCAAGTATTTAAATTGCCTCTGGTAATCATCAGCTTTTTTGGCCGCTAGCCCTTAAGTAACATCCTTATTTTTGGTTACACATTGAACACCCTGGGGTAAAAAAATTACCCCAAACGGAAATTGATTTTTTTAAAAGTAAATATTGAAAATAAATTCAATTTGTAATTTAAAATGTATTAGCAGGCTGACTAAATTATACGATTGCCTTAAAAAATCGTCTGTCTCGCGTAAAAAAAACATTTTAAATCAATCATAACAAAAAACAAAGAATTTTTCATTTGCAACTATAGTCTCTACAATGATCTTCTAGAAAAATCTTGAAAGTTATTGTGAGAACCAAAAACTTACACTAATCGGACATCGAATAGGTGCTTTATACAATTTTAAACTCAAAGTTAAATAAAACGTAAATTGTTGGACTTTATCAAAGCAAAATAAAAAAAACTTATTTTTTATAAAATTATGAGAAATTGTTTTTTATTTTATTTTATTCCTAAATATTATTTTCAAAACACATCAAACACACTGAATTATTACGTAATTATCATTTTAGAGTTATATTTCTGTGTCGAATTTATGAACGCTCTGATCTGAGGGGATGTCTTCGAAGTTCGAAAAGTATCATGTAAATCAAGCTCTATTTATCTTTCTACATTCTCGAGACAACGTGCTACTTGATCGTCATATAAATATTTACTCATTTTGTTTAAATATCATAAAAACCTATTAATTACATGTTAGGTGATGATAAATTAAAGCATGCGTAACTAACACCCTGGGGTAAATTTCTATCCCACCTACCTGTAAAAGCCAAACGGATGATTTTTGTCACATCCCGCGTCTACGAGCTTAAAGCGCACACTCTGCATTGAGAATACACAAAACGACATTGCTTTAGCTTCACTAGAAAAAAAGATATGCCAATTTTCATACGCCTGGGGTAAAAAATTACCCCACGGTGTTACTTAAGGGTTAAGGCAGAAAAGTTCTCAAGTGGCGACCACGGGACGGAAGACGTAGTCAATATCAAATGTAATTTTAGTAAAACTCGTTTAAAAACAATGCTATACCAACGTCCATATCGCCCATTCACTAATTCGCACTAGGGCTCACAAGCTCTTGGCACGTCACAAACCACTTTACTTTATAATATTTCAATAACTTAATTAAAACTATTGTTAATTGATTGATATAATTATTGTTTTTACAGTAATATGATGATGTCGATTCAACAAGGAATTCTTCCACCCAAATTACAAGAAGCGATTGAAACTATTATAAAAAATGAAGATTTCATACATTTTCACATAGATGTCAAGGAACTTGAAATGGATAGTAGTTTTCTTGGCACACATAGAGAAATAAACATTAGAGGAGAAACCGCTAACGGTAGTAAGGAACTGAAATTGTTCACCAAAACTAAAATTGATGACGTCATTACTCAATCCACTGTAGTAGACGTAGTATCTTCAGTATCATGTGCGTATAAGAACGAGAATTTCGTGTATTCTGAGCTTCGTAGAGCTATCAATGAGGTACAAGAAGAAGCCAACATACCCGTTGGAGAGAGATATACGCTCGCTAAGAGCTACTATAGCACCGATATAGAATCTGTTATAATGGAAAACTTAAGAGAAAAAGGTTTTACAATGTGTTCAAATCTAGATGTAATTCCTCTGAAAATCGCAGAGCTAGCTATCCAACGACTAGCGCAATTCCACAGCTTTGCTTTTGTACTTAAAGAGAAGCGTCCGAAATTCTTTGAGAATAAAGTGAAAAAGATGAAACAACCTTTCCATCATGGTACAAAACCGTTTAATGAGTTCTTAAAGGGTTTCAGTGAAATAAGCATTAATAGTATGAAGCCAGAACAGAAAAAGAGGTTGCAAGAGTATTTTCCAACCACTTATGACAAATATGAAAAATACACTCAAGACCCAGCGGGCGTTTGGACTCTGGTGCATGGAGATTTCAGAGTTAGTAATGTAATGGTGAAATACCACGTAAGTATTTATACAAAACCTTCATTAGTTTTAAATGTGTGTTAAATAGCAGTGATAATAATATACCAGCGATTGAAAGGAATAAAATAATGAACTTTATCTGCTTTTCTAATTGTAGCAGCTATGAAGTAGTAACTATAACAATAATGTGCAGCGGTAAAATGAAATTGATAGATAGTCTTATTATTTATTTCCTCAAATCAACTTTCTTTTTCTAAAAATATACACTTAGGGCCGATTTTTCAATCGTCAGATATCTTTTATCTGAAGAATAGAACTTGCCACTTTGTCATATTTTCCATACTGAAACTGTTAATGTGCCAAACTTATTCTGCAGTTAAAAGTTATCCGACGATTGAAAAATCAGCCCTTAAACTTATTTTTTTTTCTAGGATGGCGAAGCATCAGAAGTGATACCCGTTGACTATCAACTCTCGTATTATGGCTGCTCCATCGTCGACTTTATCTACTTCATATTTTGTAGCACCGACCAAGAGTTCAGGAAAAACCACTTAGTACACCTCAAGAATTTGTACTACTTATCTATGAAGAATTTTTTGAGGCTTTTCTACATGGAAATTGAACAATATTACCCGAGAGCAGAATTTGAGAGGCTTTATAAAGAGAGACTTGATTATGGACTGATGATGACTCTGTGGGTGCTTCCAATAATTCTGACTAAGAAAGATGAAGCCTCTGATGCTATCAGCAAGGACCTGCCTAAGACTGACACTAAACTTAATGTTTTTGTCCAAAAGAGGTTAAGTGATATAGTGGACGATTATATAAATTGGGGCTACATATAGGGGAACTAGCAAATCTGAGTTGTAATAATATTAAAATTAAATGAATAAATCTTGCTGTGAAATTCAATCGTTGCACAAATAGGGTTCATTTTATGGCTAGTGGTGTCATTGATTTCAGACAAATCAATATTTAATACGGAATTATGAATAAATTAGTATTTTATCATTTTATTCTAAACCACAATCATTGTCTACAACATTGCTCTAATTGCCTTATAAATGAAAATTCATAATCTTTATAAACGTTTGCTAAGTCACACGTATTCAACGGGCAAGAATGCACGTCATGATAAAATTTTATCGATGATTTTAGACGCCAATTGTATGAGCTTATCGCATAAAATCGACAAAATTGCGCAATAAACCTGTATCATGATGCGCATCCTAGGCCTACAGATAAGTAGTTAGTAATTATCATCATCATCATAGTCTCCACTGCACAGAACGACGAGTATTTGTCAAACACTACGTTAGCCAGATGAATAAGGGAGGCTTGATGATGACAATGATGATGATGATGATGAGAAATTAACATAACACATACCTATTATTACTGGACCCGCGTCGTGGAATACCTGTAATCAAAAAAGTTATTTTACTTTTAAGTCAACATAATGACTGTAAGCTATAAATCATAGAGCCGAGGATCAAGCAGTTCTTAACCCTGAATTATTATTATTCGTTCCCCACAGCCGATAGTATGGATTTGCCTTCCTCGTACTGAGTGACTTCATACGAAATAGGATCAGTGATATCGTGGACGATTTCATTCAATGGGGGGATTTCAAACATTTGACGTTATCAAAATCTCGCTATGATTATTTATTGTTATAAAAAAATATACTTTGTGTGTTTAAAGCTCATAGCAGACTTATCAACTTGGAAATGAATCAACACCGTGTCGCCTTTTGCGAGCTTTGGCGAGGCGAGGCGTTTACGTTACGGTGCGGATAAGTGTCCGTTGCAGTATGGAATTTCATACAAAGAATACTGACCGCCTCGAGTAGATACGGTTACGATCCTAATGCAACGTCCTNTTATGAATATATTAGTATTTTATAATTTTATTCTAAACCACAATCATTGTCTACAACATTTCTCTGGATACTGAATTTTCATTTATAAGGCTTTTTAAGCGTTTGCTAAGTCACACGTATTCAACGGGCTAGAATTCACGTCATGATAAAATTTTATCGATGATTTTAGACGCCAATTGTATGAGCTTATCGCATAAAATCGACAAAATTGCGCAATAAACCTGTATCATGATGCGCATCCTAGGCCTACAGATAAGTAGTTATTCATTGTCATCATCATCATAGTCTCCACTGCAGAGAACGACGAGGATTTTTTTTTTCAAACACTACGTTAGCCAGATGAATTAGGGAGGCTTGATGATGACAATGATGATGATGATGATGATGAGAAATTAACATAACACATACCTATTTATTGCTGGACCCGCGTCGTGGAATACCTGTAATCAAAAAAGTTATTTTACTTTTAAGTCAACTTAATGTAAGTTACAATCATAACGCCAAGGATCAAGCAGTTCCTAACCCTGAATTATTATTATTCGTTACATCCCCACTAGGCGTACAGACGATCTGGTAAAGTTCGTGGGAGGTGCCTGGATGCGAGCGGTCCGGTACAAATTTTAAAGTTTGGTTGCTGCCAAAAATTCTGACTGAGAAAGAAGAAAACCCTGCAGCCGATAGTATGGATTTGCCTTCCCCGTACTGAGTGACTTCATACGAAATAGGATCAGTGATAATAATAAATCGTGGACGATTTCATTCAATGAGGAGGATTTCAAACATTTGACGTTATCAAAATCTAGGTATGATTTTATTGTTATAAATATTATACTGTGTGTGTTTAAAGCTCATAGCAGACTTATCAACTTGGAAATGAATCAACACCGTGTCGCCTTTTGCGAGCTTTGGCGAGTCGAGGCGTTTACGTTACGGTGCGGATAAGTGTCCGTTGCAGTATGGAATTTCATACAAAGAATACTGACCGCCTCGAGTAGATACGGTTACGATCCTAATGCAACGTCCTTAATTCATAATGTACTCGTATATATATACATAAATATTTGAATCCTTTCACGTGAGATGAAACCGACACTAAAATGTCTTTCACGTTATTAGCAATGTTGTATCTATGTATCTTTGTTTAGTCAAATAGCTAAAAGTGTTATAATCTTAATAGATTAATATTGTAATTTCCTTTACCTGTGTCATGTGTAATTTTGTTTTATTTTGTTCAACCAACAAAATGTAAGTATTTTCCAAATAAAGAAATTATCTAAAAGGTTCATTAATTAAATTCAAAATGCAAATAATATCTACACGTTGTAATGACATATACAGGATGTCTTTGTGACGAGTGAACATCCTTGTAAGGGATTATAGTAGGTAGGTACGTTATTTCCATTTAATTTAGTTGTGTATATTCATCATAATCATCATCATTTCAGTCACAGGACATCCACTGCTGAACATAGGCCTCCCCCAATGACTTCCACATCGCACGGTTGGTAGTGGCCTGCATCCAGCGTCTTCCTGCTACCTTTGTCAGGTCGTCGGTCCACCTTGTGTGTGCATATTATGTTTAGGTAAATAAATGTACCTTCTTTAGAGTTAATTAAAGTTGTGTCCTTATGATTTTTCCATACAAAATTAAAATCAAAATATCTCGTAAATAGTTGACTTTTACTTGCATAAACAGTTACAAAATTGGTAGCAAATGACCTGTATTAATTTATAAATCCCTTGCCAGGAATACATATTTTATTGTTTTAAATGTTTATCAAGTGTATTTCCTTACCAGGAAGTTCATTTGTTACAAGTCACCCTGTATAGTATAATAAACCAATAAAGAAGCATTAAAGAACATTTGAATATAATTTAGTGTGATAGTCAAATAATTTTAAAACAACGAATCGAAATACCTAGAAGTAACGAACGTGTGTTTAACATTTTAAACAAGTGCACTTTCGAAAAAGAACCCAACATCAGTAGTTCAACATTGCTATTTATTTATATTATTTACAAGGTAAGTACAACATTAAAATATTAATATATTTCAAGTCAATACGAAGGGTTACGAACCGTATTAAAGACTCATACATTTTCAATAGTTCTTAATCATGTACATTTGTTTTAGAAAATATGTCATACAGTCAACAAAACGATCTACCACCTAAACTACAAGAAGCCATAGAGAAAATTATTCAAAATGAAAATTTCAAATCTTATCACATTGAAGTAAAGAAACTTGAAATAGATAATAGCTTTGTCGGTGAATATAGAGAAATAAATATCAGAGGAGAAAGTAAAAATGGCAATAAAGAATTACAGTTATTCACAAAAACCAACCTTGATGACAAGATTAATAACGTAGACATGGTAGCTAACATATCGAATTTATATAAAATAGATTATGTATTCTGAATTCAATAAAACAATAAATGAAGTACAAGAAGAAGCCAACATACCCTTCGAAGAGAGATATGTACTTGCTAAAAGTTACGTTAGCAGTGATGAAAATACTATTATAATGGAAAACTTGGCAGCCAAAGGGTTCACAATGTATCCGCATCAAAAAGTGATAACACTGAAGTTCGCAGAGTTAGCAATACAAAGTTTAGCCAAGTTCCACAGCTTTGCCTTCATACTTAAGGAAAAGCGTCCACTTTTTTATGAGAACAAAGTTAAAAACATGAAACAGCCTTTACTTTATGGCACAAACAGTTTTAATGAATTGGTTCAGAAATGCAGCCAATACACCATTGATAACTTAAATCCAGAACATAAAAAGAAGATGGAAAAATTCTTGCCGACGATTTATGAGAAATTTCAAAAATACACTGCTGACCCAGCGGACGTTTGGTGTCTTGTGCATGGAGAGATATAATGGCACAATTCAAAGTAAGTGATGTATGTCTATTATAATTATTAAGTATTTATTTACTGTTATAATTTACCGATTTACTTTCTAAGAGGTTCTTCCCGCGACCTTCACCAGATCTTCGGCCCACCTAGTAGGAGGCTGCCTCACGCTACGTATTCCGGAAGAACCTGGATGCGGGCAGCGCAGAACAGGCTGATTTCTTATTGTGTCAACAATTTAACGTTTTGCCTTTTTTGTTAATTAATAAAACAATCACGAAGCACAACTTTTCTAAAAAAAAAACACTATTAATGAAGCCCTGAAAACTCAATTATTATTCAATGGACTGTTAACTTTGATTAGCTTTGAAAACAAATAATAATGTTCACTAAGAGCGTCACATTATTATTTTGCTATTAATTTGCTACAATCTATTACTTTCTGTTCCAGAATGGCGAACCGTGTGTAGTGAGAGTCGTTGACTACCAATTTTCGTTTTACGGCTGTTCTATCATTGAACTGTTTAATTTTATATTCACTGGCACCGATCAAGAATTCAGGAAGAACCATTTGGAATACCTCAAGAATTTATATTACAAATCTATGGAGGAATTCTTGAAACTTTTCAATATGGACGTTGAGGATTACTATCCAAGAGCTGAATTTGAAAGGCTTTATAGAGAGAGGCTGGATTATGGCTTGATGATAGCTCTGTTCTTTCTGCCAATAATTCTGGCCAAGAAGAATGAAAACTCTGTAGCCGATATCTTAGATTCTCCTTCTACCGCCCCCATAATGAGTGACTTCATACGAAATAGGATAAGTGGTATCGTGGAAGATTTTATTCAATGGGGATACATATGAGATAGTCACTTTAATTATTATCTATGTATTTTTAAGTTTTATGATTTTTATTCATGNTGCCTGCAGTAACAAGTGTCTGTTGACAGATTGATCCTATTGGTTGCTAGCTGTGAGTAGTAATATGCACGGCATATTTTGAAATAATAACATAGAAATCTATACAGTACGGTTTTACCCCGGTATACGGTTTTGTACAGGTCTCCCCTATAACTTATTAAGTATCTCTTAAATAGCTACCAATGGTGATAAAACCAGTTCGTTGGTAGTAAAGTTGTAATCATTTATTTTATTTTAGAGTTACTGTAAAGTTTAAAAAACTTAATCAAATAAAGATTTTGTGAAAGACGAGTTTGTGATTAACATTCTTTTAACTTTAATCCGACTTATTATTTTCCCCTCGATCCTTTTCTTAAAGTGTAATGGCATGATTGATGTAACTTTAAAAGGCCCATTATCAGTAAGAACTCACTAAACTTTTCTGGATGACAGCCATTTTGATGTTTCGTTAGATAGGTCATTTCGTCTCGTCAGCATAAATAAATTAGGTATTTTTATGCTGACGAAACGAAACGTAATATTCGTAACACCTCAAACATTAACTTAGTGAAGTACGCCTGGTCGCCTATAGACCAACGATTCTGAAACGTCAAGTGGCAAAAACCAAAAACTAAACCCAGTAATGATATTAACCTTAAATACGCAAAGCGTGTGCATAAAGACCTTGTTTTAGAGCCATCAACATTACAATACGAGTACATTAACATTAGTACTGAGATAATACGAAGTACCTAAATGCTAGGATAGACTGCGCTTGTTATTTTGGCTAAGTGATAAGCACTTAGCCAAAAAAACAAGTTAATTATAGGTGGTGCAGTCAACCAGCCAAGTTCTCAAAGCAAAATAATGTTGTCAGGTCACTGGGCCTTGCCTTGGTCTGGGTTATTGTCAAAACTACACCAATAAATTGTAATCCCAACAAACCACACAAATTAATAATATTCGTTCAATATACAGAGATGACGTTATGCTGGTTATGGCTACATGAATATTATTGCGATTATCGTCTGCTCGGTTGCTGACAATACAATATACCTAATTATGCCTAAAATCATTATGACTATGGAGAAGGGGTTCGCGTCAAAAATAAAGAAAAAAATCGTGCCAAGATTTTATTTACAACATTTTAAAGAGCAGCTAAAAAACTAATTCTCATCTACACTAATTTAACATTCACAATTTTATTTTTCAGTGAAGATGACAATGTATCAGAAACACAATGATAGAATGATATTTCAACAAATACAGACAGAAACATTAAACTTAGACATCTTTCAAAATAGTTTGCAAATGTTTCTTTAATTTGTAACAGCACTTTTGTTTGCCTAGTTATTTATGTAACTGAAGAAGGTTTACATATACCCCCACTGTATCAAATCATCAACGATTCCGCACAATCTGTCCTTGTAACTCTCATCCAAGTTGTAAGGCACAGTATAATCGACTCCCTTATCTAACTCGGGGACAGCATCAGTTCGGGCGAAAATGAAAGGCATGAGACATAAGAAAAACATCAATCCTAAGTCCAATTTATCTTTGAATTGCTCATCAAATTGTTCTTTTGAATATACCTTCGCAGCTTCAACGCCAAATTTGCTCAAAAAATTTTCAAAATTACTGTAGTACAAATTTTTAAGATGTTCCAAGTGCTGTTTACGAAATTTCTGATCAGTGCCCAAGAAAATAAAAAATAGAAAATCGAATACAGGATTGCCGAAACTTGTAATTTGATAGTCGACAGGAAATACTGCAGAAGGTTCTCCGTCCTGAAATGAATAAATAAAATAAAATGACTCCCTAAACGTTAATGTAGTGAAATTGCTTAATAACAAATTTGTATCAATAAAATTGGAAATGTAAAATAACGTTAAGCAAGTTTCACAATTTCCAACCGCTCTCTCGTTGATGGTGAATGGTGAATTTATTTGTATTTAAAAAATTTAATCATTTTATGTACTTACAATGTCTTTCACCAATATATTGCTAGGTCGATAATCGCCATGTTCTAGGCAAATAGCCCCTTCAGATGAATTTCTTATTGACCTCAAAAATTTCTCTTCCATTGTGGGATAATAATTATCAAATTTTATTTTTGCTTCATCTTCTAAAGTCTCCATAGCTATGTTGTATATTTTTTTGTTATGATGGTGAGTGTGTGAGTTCACTTCTACTAACGAACATAAGGACTTTATGTTGTTTTCAAAATATTCCGGATCTTCATTTTGTATTACAAAAGAGACCGCATGTAGTTTTGCAAGTTGCTCAATGGCTAATTCTGCAAATTTTATGTGCATGACTTCGAATCGGTCGTTTGTTTTGAAACCCAGTTTAGTAATATCTTCCAAAATTATTACCTCGCTATTCGTCTCGCTGAATACCTTTACAGTTCTCAGTCTGTCTTCCTGTGGTATATTATATTTATCTTCAACTGTCTTAAAATATTTAAATATTTCTTTGTACAAAAATCCTTCTCTCTGGTACATTTTAGGCACATTGAAAATTGGACAGTTTTCTGATGCATGCGTATTAATTTTTAGAAAGATGTTTAGTTCTTTTTCTTCGCCATTTTTCGTTTTGCCATTTATGGTCACCGTTTGCAATGAACCAAAGTAACTTCCTCCATTAGTTGAAAGATCTTTTACACTAACTTTATACTTAATTAACTCTTCTTTGCAAATTATTTTTCTGATGTTAAGGCGTACCATCGATTTTAAATTTTCAACTGTTAATATGTCATCTCCACTGCACTCACTAATGGTCGTCATTTTGATTTTATTTGTATAATTCGTGCAAACACTGAGAGAGTCAAAAGACTTATAAAGTCTCTAGGTTGATTAAATACCTTATGTATTTGTGTTATCAGACAATGCAAATAATTGTTTAGCAGTGGTATTTTATTTCATCTTTTGAAATACCTACCTTATCCATATTCATTATCTCAGCCTTCTGTATTATTCGAGACACTTGTTATGGTTCCGTACCTCAAAAGGAAAAAAACGGAACCCATATCTTTAAAGGATCACTTTGTAGTCCGTATGTCTATGAAGTATAATGTAAAAAAATAAAACCGACTCCAAAAAACATGCACTAAATAGTAAAAAGATAATAACGTTATTTATTTATTAGGACAAAATATAGGTACCATGATTGATATTCTCAAAGTTAGTGCCTGCCCACCTACTGCCAAGCTCAAAAAATATTCTAAATTTACCCGTACCTTAAAATGTTTTTTTTAGATTTGGTAAAAAATTGTCACAAAATAAACCGTCTATTTAAATATTCAAAGCATGTGCAAAAATACCTTGTTTCAGAGCCATCTACATTACAATACGAGTATGTACATTAACATTAGTACTAAGATAATGCGAAGTACCTAACTACGATAAACCGCGCGTTATCACCTAGCCAAAAAAACAAGTTAATTCTAGGTGGTGCAGTCAACCAGCCAAGTTCTCAAAGTAAATATTTGACACTGGCCTTGGTTTCGGTAGTTGTTAAAACTAGGTACACCTGTTACGGAGCCCTAGTGTATGGATATCGCACAAGCAGCATTGTCCCCATTCACGGATTGCAACAGCCAGTAACCGAAAATGCTGACATCGCGATAAATAATCCTGACACAACACACAATAAATAATAAAGTATAATTATGTTTATTCAATTTAGTAGATGGCGTTTGCCTTCTTGTAAAAAATGCATGTTACCTGGTAGCCAATAAATGCATTTTTTATTTGATTTTATAAAAAAAAAAGACTTGCATGAGAAAAAACAAAATTAGTGGTTAGGTTTTATTTACAATATTTTAAAGAGCAGCCGAAAACTAGTTCTCATCAGCTACACTACCTATTACATTTACACTTACAATTTTATTTACAAAATTCACAACAATAATAAAAATTAAATGTTTGTTTTATTTCTAATAATAATAACACTTTTCTTCGTCTAGACATTTAAATGCATAATATGCAACTCATCCGATAAAAGAGTAAGGTTTACATATACCCCCACTGTATCAAATCATCAACGATTCCGTACAATCTGTCCTTGTAACACTCATCCAAGTTGTAAGGCACAACATATTCGAGTCCATTATCTAACTCGGGGACAGCATCGGTTCGGGCGAAAATGAAAGGCATGAAACATAAGAAAAACATCAATCCTAAATCCAATTTATCTTTGAATTGCTCATCAAATTGTTCCTTTGAATATACCTTCGCAGCTACAACACCAAATTTGCTCAAAAAACTCTCAAAATTACTGTAGTACACATTTTTAAGATGTTCCAAGTGCTGCTTACGAAATTTCTGATCGGTGCCTAAGAATATGAAAAATATAAAGTCCAATATAGGATTGTCAAAACTTGCGAGCTGATAGTCGACAGGAAATACTGCAGAGGGCACTCCGTCCTGAAATGAATAAATAAAATTACTTCTTAATGAAGTGAAATTGCTCAATAACAAATTATCAATACATTGGAAAAGTAACAGAACGTTAGCTCCTTTTACAATTTCCACACACCTCTCTCGGTGATAGTGACTTTATTTATATTTAAAAAATTGAATCATTCATGTACTTACAACGTCTTTCACCAATATATTGTTAGGTCGATAATCTCCATGAACTAGGCAAATAGCCCCTTCAGATGAATTTCTGTACATCTTTAAAAATTTCTCTTTCATTGTGGGATAATAATTATCAAATTTTATTTTTGCTTCATCTTCTAAAGTCTCTATAGCTANTTTCTTGAGTGCGACTATTGTCTTGGCCAAGACAACGGCTGGAATTAGGCTACTAGTCTTCAAGATATCTTCAATGCCTTATGAAGATAATCTGTTGCTACTTGGGTATTCGTCTCGCTGAATACCTTTACAGTTCTCAGTCTGTCTTCCTGTGGTATATTATATTTATCTTCAACTGTCTTAAAATATTTAAATATTTCTTTGTACAAAAATCCTTCTCTCTGGTACATTTTTGGCACACTGAAAACTGGAAAGTTTTTTGATGCCTGAATTATAGTTTTCAGAAAGATGTTTAGTTCTTTTTCTTCGCCATTTTTCGTTTTACCATTTACGGTCACCGTTTGCAATGAACCAAAGTAATTTCCTCCATTAGTTGAAAGATCTTTTACACTAACTTTGTACGTAATTAACTCTTCTTTGAAAATTATTTTTCTGATACTATGGCGTACCATCGATTTTAAATCTTCAACTGTTAATATGTCATCTCCACTGCACTCACTAATGGTCGTCATTTTGATTTTATTTGAATAACTCGTGCAAACACTGAGAGCGTCGAAAGGCTTTTAAATTATTTTAGTTATATAAATACCTTCTGTATTGGTACTATCAAACAATTTAAATAATAAGTAATTGTTTAGCAGTGGTATAATGTATTTTATCTTTTGAAACACCTTATCCATATTCATTATTTCAGCCTTTTCGTATTATTCAAGGCACTTTTCTAAAAACAGAATTTTATACTATCTGAACTATTCAAAACAAGGAAAAATGTCAACGAAAGCCAAGATAATAAAAGAAACCAAGTGGTGATAGAAATTGTAGCTTCAGTTAGCGTATAATCTATACCTATAATTATAAAAGCGAAAGGTCACTCATTGACTGACTCACTCATCATGAAATCTCAGAAACTACAAGTGCTAGGAGTCTCAAATTTTGCAAGGTGGTTCCTTTTTAAGACGTAGATGCTCACTAAGACGAGATTTTGCAAAATTCATCCCCTAAGGGCTAAAACGGGATCAACGCTTACGAAGCCGTTGGCGGTCGCTAGTTATTGATAAAATAATGCAGTGTTTAAGCCGAGTAAATATCACCACTTCGACGAACAAAAGCTTAATAGGAAAATGACAATTTTATAGGAGCAAATGAAAACTGAAACTGAAAGCCAAGTGAAGAATCCGGGGTACGCGAGTTCGAATCCCGCCGCCGCGCCACCCGTCTATTGTGCTGAGCCCACTCGAGACACAAGCATATTTAGCTTAANAGGGTTAATACGAGAAGCTAACGGGACTATTAGTAATTTGTGCAATTACTGCAATAAATACCGCCGGATATATCTATCATAAATTGTAAAAATATTTGTGACAAGACCACAAAGTCATGTTTGTTTTCACAGAGCGTGTCCTGACGGACGGTACTCACGTTCCCACTAATCCTATTATTATTGGTACTGGTATTAATTTCTGAACATAATAATAATATTATTATTATCCAGTTTGACAATCAATAGCTGGTTCGGCGAACTTCGGTAGGTACTTAAATTATTAATGTGTGACCTGAAGTGCCACTCGTGGAAAATGACTGAGTAAAGTAATTTTCTAAGATTTTTAGCTAACGTATTGAAAATAATTTATAGCCTATGTTCAGCAGACTTTTTTTAGATTTAAATGGTGGAAGAAAATTTTTCAAACTGGTCCTGTAGTTTCGGAGCTAAATCTGTCTTCTTTATAATATTAGTATAGTTGAGCTATGTATGTAATATGTAGGGAAGTACGCTATTTGTTTGTCAGTGAGTCGACCAAAGTAGGCGACGTTTAAAGCTCATAGCAGACTTATCAACGCGGAAAGCGATCAACACTTTGAGTCAACACCGCATAGTTCCAAAATACTGAACTGTCCTATGCATGACATTGACAGTGAGGCGCCACCGTCAATACCGGATCGCTGGTTCCGATTTTTGCCATGCTGGAAACCATATAGTTGAACGATGGTAGCGCCCCCCTGTCATTGAGTTTGGTGGGACAGTTCAGCGTGGGTCATCTATATCACCCTTCGCGAGCTGTCATCGCCTTTCGCGCGCTGTCAACCGCGAGGCAAGGCGTTTACGTTACGGTGCGGATAAGTGTGCGTAGCATGCTTGGAGCTTGGAGTTTCATACAAAGAATATCGAGTTGATACAGTTACGATTCCTTTCCGGATTGATAAATATGCGACGTCCTTATATGGGACATTGTACTGCAGAGTAGGCAATATAATGCATCGTGTTCGCCGAAGCCTTATTATACCATCGGTCGTTTTTCCAGACTGAAAATCAGAATCAAATTCCGTTGATCACCTTGATAGAGTTTCAAAATATATTTTTTGTACTCTGAATGAAAAGTGGGTAAACTGAAGTAAAAAAAAAACTACGTTAGAAGACTTTGCATTAAGTATATTATCCTTTAATTCACAATATGTTATATTCTTAAATCCCGAGTTACATAATACATTGCACCAGATAGCAATAAGTTCATAAATAACCCCACTGTATAAAGTCATCAATAACTCCATGAAGTCTTTCCTTATAACGCTCATCTAAATCAAACGCCATGTCAAGTCCTTGTTGCGCCGTAGGGGCACTGTTAGTTATTGCAAAAATAAAAGGAAGAGACAATATAAAAGTTGTTCACCCAAAGTCTATATTTATTTCTGAAATCTGTCTCGAATTGCTCTTTAGAATATATTCCCTTAGCCCTTAATATTGAATGCTCAAAAAAGTTTCAAAAGTATTGTAATACAACGCCTTTAGATCATCCAAATGGTTTCTGCGAAACTGCTGGTCCGTCCCTAAAAAATGAACTTCAAAATGTCAGTAACTGGATGGGCAAAACTGGCAAACTGATAGTCTATAAGGATTACATCAGTAGGTTCATTACCCTGAAACAAACAAAAAAACAAGTAGGTAAGTTATGTAAATGACGTTCGTCTAAACAACCATTTGCGAATTTGAAAATATAAGTAACTAGCTTTTGCCCGCGGCTTCACCCGCGTGGAATTTAGTTTGTCACATATCGTCATAAAATATAGCCTATACAGGGTGGAAACGATAAGTGATCTCACTCGATTATTTCTAAACTATACAAGATATCGAAACACTGATTACTGATCCTGAAAGTGCTTCACGAGCTCTTTCAAACGATATCAGTAATAGGTTACAGAATTGACTGGATCTATCCGAAAATTCAATGTTTTCAGCCTCCATACTAAATGTATGCCACTATACCAGGCACACAATATTAGAAGTGTTAATTTTATTTTTATTTTAAATAATGAACACTTAAAATTAACTCGTAAATTGCATTCTTATTTAAAATTATTCATGGAAAACATTGGTTTTAGGCTTCACTTGCTATAATATTATCAAGACATGCGTGCCATGACTGTGGCAGTACTAAATGTATGGAAGCTGGAAACATTGAATTTTCGGATAGATGCTGTTTATTTTATAACTTATTATTGGTACTGTTGGATAGAGCTCGTAAAGCACTTTCAGGATCAGTTATCAGTTTTTGGATATCATGTATAGTTTTTAATATTATGTGGTTTTACTAAATGTATGGAGGCTGGAAACATTGAATTTTCAGATAGATGCAGTTTATTTTGTAACCTATTATTGGTACCATTGGATAGAGCTCGTGAAGCACTTTTAGGATCAGTAATCAGTTTTTGGATATCTTGTGTAGTTTAGAAATAATCGAGTGAGATCACTTATCGTTTCCACCCTGTATGTTATTCTAGGTTATAAACAGTAATACTGTAAAGTTTCAACAAAATCCGTTCAGTATTTTTTGCGTGAAAGAGCAACAAACATCCAGACATCCAAACTTTTGCATTTATAATATTAGTTAGTAGGATTTACACCACAAATAAACACAAGTTACTTATAGAAAATGTTACTTCAGTTAGGGAAGTAGTAAAGCAATCATAGAATTCAGCATTATATACCTACTGTATTTCATTATAGCATTGCTATATTATAGCAAATGCCAAGTTTCAAACATAATTTGTCATAAAAGCTACTATATGATACAGAAACATAGGTATATTAACATTTATACTTATATTTATGTTATTGATGTACATACTTACAATTTCTTTTACTAATACGTTGCTTGGCCAAAAGTCTCCATGAACTATACAGACAGATTCATCAACTGAAATTTTTAAATTATTTAAATAATTTTTAACCAGTTTTGGGTAGTTGTTTTCAAGTTTACATTTTAAATTTTCTTTTAAACTTTCCTTAGCTATGTCGAATGTTTTTCTCAGATAATCTTCAAAGTATGCATCTAAATTAAACACTGATTTTAAGGTTTTAATGTTATTTTCAAAAAATATTGGATTGTCCTTTTGGATAATGAAGGACATGGCATTTAGTTTGGCCAGTTGTTCAATGGCTAATTCTGCAAATTTTAAAGGTATAACGTCCATTCTGTCATATGTTTTGTAGCCCACATGAGAAACGTCTTCTAAAATTATAATTTCATTATTTAACTCGCTAAACTCTTTCACTGTTTTAAACCTTTCTCCGTGAGCGATGTTGTATTTATCTTGAATTTTCTCAAAAATGTTAAACAACTCTTTATAGAAAAATCCTTCCCTCTGAAAAATATTTGGAACGTTGATGACTGAAAATTCCTCAGGTGCACATACAATGTTTTTGAGGAATAAAATTAGCTCTTTTTCCCTGTCATCTTTGGTTTTACCATTTACGGTTACCTTTTGCAATGATCCAAAAAAATTACCTACATTAGTTTCAAATCCTTTTACAAAAACTCTGTAAGACGTCCATTCTTCTTTGTCTATTATATTTTTTATGCTTTGACGTGCCGATAAATTTAATTCTTCAACCAATAGTATGTCGTCACCCTCGTATTTATTAATGGTCGACATTTGGATTTTATTTCAAGTTTCCTGTTACCACGAAGACTTGTAAACTAAAAGCCTATACATATAGATCTGAATATATTAATTTGTCTTTTTTGTTTCAAAATAAGCAAAATCGTAATCATGACATTGTATATTTTACTCGTTATCTGAGTATTTTACATATATTTAAGAGTCGTTTAAAAAGGTAGCGAAAAAAAATTAAATTTCTTTTACACTGGATTTTTTTTTTACTTCCTTGTCACACTATAAATATGATAGTTAATCGTTTTCTTGTATGAAAAGTAAAAAAAAAAACATTTAAATGAGATGGAAAGGGCTACTTTTTTTATGGGACAGGAGGCAAACGAGCAGACGGATCACCTGATGGTAAATGATTACCTGGTGATGGTATTGAAGTAAATACGTATCGGTCCGAAAATACCGCAGACGACAGTCCTTTTCACAGTTTGGTTATGCGGGGCAGGAAGTTTCTAGAGAAACGTACAGTTGTGGACTACCAATCATCTAGCAAGTAATACTACTACTACATGTAGCAAGCAATACTATAGTCTGGTCTGCGAGCACGTAGAATTTTGTCCAATGACCCCAAGCTACCCATCCTTATCGCTCGCGCGTAATTATGTTGCTGTCGCGCTCGCACACTCACTGCGGGCGCCCATCGCACAGTCGCGACAGCAATATAATAAGTGGCAGCGATAAGGATGGGTAGCTTGGGGTCATTGGACAAAATTCTACGTGCTCGCAGACCGGGCTTTAAATACGTTATCAGTTTGTTCAGTAAAAAGTAACTTTACATTGTGTTTGGCTAAGTCTTATTTAATATCATCGGTCCTTTTTTAAGACTTTAAGAGAACAGAATCAAAATATCTTAGTCAGAAATGATAGTTTCAATTTAATTTTTTTCTGAATGAAAACTGTACCTGTGTAAGAAAACTCCAAGAAAAGATTTTGCAATTTATATCTTTTAATTCACAATAATATTTTTAATTCCCAATAACCAGATAACGGAAAGTTCACAAATACCCCCAGTGTATGAAGTCATCAACAACTCCATACAATCTCTCCCTAAAACGTTCATCTAAATCAAACGCCACATCAAATCCTTGTTCTATCTGAGGGGCTCTGTCAGTGCTTCCGAAAATGAAAGGCAAACACAATATAAATATTACCAACCCATAGTCTAATTTATTTCTGAAATCTTTCTCAAATTGCTCTTTAGAATATACCTCTCTGGCCTCTATATTGAATTTTCTCAAAAACATTTCAAAACTGCTATAATACAACGTCTTAAGATCATCCATATGGTTTCTACGAAAATGCTGGTCCGTCCCTAAAAAAATGAGCTTCAAAATGTCCAAAACTGGACTGCCAGGACTTGCTAACTGATAGTCTATAAGAATCACATCAGATGGTTCATTATTCTGAAACAAACAAATAAGTAATTCAAGGGACAATAGGGGAACGATAAAGGCATAGTAAATAATATAAATGCTGTGTTAAAGGTGTCGGACTGGCCGACTCGTGATCCGAGGAAAAATCCTCGCCGCCGCTGGACTATTGTGGACGCTGGACTATAATACAAGCATGATTTTAACTCGCCACGAGCGACTAATTGGATTATTTGATATACAAATTACAAAAATATTATTTCAATTTAAAAAAGATAAATGACATCAGCTACATCAAAAATAATTGCAAATTACATCATTTTTAAAAACCGAAATTCACTTTTTTGTAATAACTTACGGCCGTAACTACACAACTACGAACATAGACTCTAATCTATTCACTATAACAGACAATAATACACTTATCTAAAGAGTTGTTACTACACACACCAAAACTTTTTGTTTGTAACTTTTTAAATTAATATGTACCTACAACTATAATACTTACAGTTTCTTTAACCAATACGTTATTGGGCCTAAAATCTCCATGAATTACGCAAACAGCTTCATGTGGTAACATTTTTAAATTATTAAAATAATTTTCAATCAATTTTTGATAATTTTTATCCAGTTTACATTTTACTTTTTCTTCTAAGCTTTCCTTAGCTATGTCAAAGCTTTTCCTTACATAATCTTCAAAATTTGCGTTTATATTATCCACCGATTTGAGTGTTACAATATTTTTTTCAAAATATATAGGATCTTCCTTTCGAATAATGAAGGACATGGCATGTAGTTTTGCAATTTGTTCAATGGCCAATTCTGCAAATTTAATCGGTATTACATCAAATCTATCATATGTTTTGTAGCCCATGTGAGAAACGTCTTCTAAAATTATTAGTTCGTCATTAGACGTACTAAATCCTTTCACTGTTTTAAATCTTTCTCCGTGTGTAATGTTGTATTTATCTTGAATTTTCTCAAAAACATTAAACAACTCTTTATAGAAAAAACCTTCTCTTTGGTAAACATTTGAAACGTTGATGAATGTAGTATATTCCTCAGGTGCACATGGAATGTTTTTGAGAAATAATTTTAGTTCTTTGTCTCTGCCATCTTTGGTTTTTCCATTTATGGTCACCCTTTGCAGTGATCCTAAATAATTACCTCCATAGGTTTCAAATCCTTTTACAACCACTCTGTAAGACGTCAATTCTTCTTTGTCTATTATATTTTTGATGCTTTGACGTGCCGTTGAATTTAATTCTTCAACTAACAGTTGTATGTCGTCACCTTCGCACTTATTATTGGTCGACATAAGGATTTTATTGTACGTTCCTTTTTGAGGTGGTGACATGTAAACTGAAAGACTGTATAAATCTTAATGTACCTATTTGTTGTCTTCAAATCCAAATTCTTTATGCTATTTGTCACGTTCTTTGTTAAGCAAATCGTTTCTTTGTAAATGTTAATTTTATTTGAGTATTTTTATACAGAGATGCCATTTAGAATTTATTGGTTTGTATGCATGAACAATGAACATGCGTCTTTGTAATATACTGGGTGTTTTGTATTTATATCATGTCGGTATTTACATTCATTTGCATCATTTACTAGAGGTGCACTGTTAATGTCCAATGATTTTTTTGTTTTTTCATTTACGGTCACCGTTTTTCAATTTCCCAAATTAACTTCCCCCGTCAGTTAAATGAGTTTTGACATTTAGCAATGAAAATCTTTAATTTGAGTTTCATATCCAACCATAACTTACCTGGCTAGACTGTCATGTTTAATATTATAAAAAGGAAGGATTTGTATGTTTGGTACTAATAAACTAAAAATTACTGTACTGATCTGAAAAATTCTTTCACCATTAGAATCCTATTTTTCTTGTTTATCTTTAAATGAATGCTCAGAACGTATGTTCCTTGAGGAAACCCTACATCCCTGGATCAGATACAATAGAAACATAACCCTCCTTCTGGCGCAGTCGGGTAAAAAGTATATAATTATGCCACTACATAATTTTATAATTAATAAGATTTGTGTCAAAGTACTATTTATTGAAAAAAGAAAATAATGCTACTAGACGATTAAAATAAATAGGTATTTCTACCTACAGTCACATTGAAGTGATTGAAAAAAATTATCTTATTTTTGACCCCACCCAAAAATAAGTAAAGAAATTATTTAATGTACTATTAAAATATTTTTATTGAAAAGTAAACATGTGTTGTATCTTTATCAACATTGAATAGAAAATATTCTTACATACATTTTAATGTACCTACATAAAACGACAGAAGTGGACAATGTAACTAATTTATAAAATAGTCAAGTGCCATGGGCGGTAATCATTTATCATCAGGTTAGCTCCATTTACCGTCTGCTCGTTTGACTCCCGTCCCATAAAAAAATAAAAATAAAAAGTGTCCAAACCATTCAAGCTACGTGTTTAGTTACGCTCTAATCCTTGTCAACATTGGCTGTGCTCTAAGCAACGGCACAGGCCTTACAGCGCTGGCCTGGCCTTCATCACCAAGATGGCTTTTCACTCCATCTCCATGGACTATTAACTATCCACGAACGGAGAGAACTAGGCGAGCTACCGTAAGTCTCACCACAGAATAAGTAATAGTNATACTCCTGGGCAGGTTATAGGATACTTAGGAATTCCCACGGGAACGGGCATTAGCGGGAAAATCCTTTTGTATGAAAAATCTAAACCGCTTAAGTTAGACGCTTGAAATTTGGCATGTAGGTACCTTAGTAAACTTAGAGCTTAGTTACAAAAAGGAATTCCCGAAATTCTCACGGAAACGGGAATAAGACGGAAAATCCTTTTGTATGAAAAATCTAAACCGCTTAAGTTAGACGCTTGAAATTTAGCATGCAGGTACCTTAGTAAACTTAAAGCTTAGTTATAACAGGATATTGCAAAATTCCTACGGGAACGGGATTTAGCGGGAAAAAACATTTGTATGATAAAATCTAAGCCACGTAAGATAGACGCTTGAAATTTGGCATGCAGGTACCTTAGTAAATTCAAAGCTTAGTTACAACAGGATATTGCAAAATTCTCACGGGAACGGGAGTTAGCGGGAAAAAACATTTCTATGAAAAAATCTAAACCGCGTAAGATAGATGAAGGGGGTAAAACGGGATCCACGCGTACGAAGTCGCGGGCGGCCGCTAGTAAAAAAATAAAAATAAAAAGTGTCCAAACCATTCAAGCTACGTGTTTAGTTACGCTCTAAGCCTTGTCAACATTGGCTGTGCTCTAAGCAACGCTTCGGCACAGGTCTTACAGCGCTGGCCTTGCCTTCATCACCAAGATGGCTTTTCACTCAATATCCATGGATTATTAACTATCCACGAATGGAGAGAACTAGGCGAGCTACCGCAACCTAGAATCTCTTGACACGTAATGAATGAAGAAAGCGAAATTCGGGTATTTATATTGACCGTGTCAAAAACTTCTACACCGCGGTTCAGGTGTTCTCTAATTTAGTAGTAAATCGATCACTGCTTCTACGTATTAATCACTAAAATTTAAGCCTCATTTAACAGTAATTTTTTGGTAACATACTTTTTTAAATCACTGTCCTTAAATACTTAATTTTTACAATTAAGGATTCCTCTATTGCTCGACTGAGTAACGCCATCTGTGTGCAATATAATAAACTACGAGTACATTATTCACAGTCTTTAATCCTGGGCGCTAGGGTCTGGTAGTTTTGTACTTACTGATATAAAGAAAGCTATTGAAAACAGATACGAGTAATCATATTTATGATCATAGTTTAAAAATAAAACAATGAATGATTACAATGTCAATACGACGGGCGTCAAGCTAAATACTGCGGCGTCTTATGCAATTGCATTTAATTATTTTAAATTAAATAGGCACAGTTTTGCAACAACATTGCTTTATATTTATGCGCTCTAGTCAAACCGAGTACGTACGGTTCTATAATTTTTCACATTGCAGTTCTAATCTAAGTTTATTTACAAGTACCCCCACTGTATAAATTCCTCAATAATACCATGTAATCTGTCTTTATAACGCTCATCCATATTCATTGACAAAGCATCCATGCCCTTTTCCAACTGTGGAACGTCATCTTCGTTCGTAAAAATAAATTGCATAAATACTAAAAAACACATCAATCCAAATTCCAATTTGTCACTAAAGTCTTGCTGGAATTGCTTTTTGGAATACACCATTTCGGCTGCGATATCGAACTTGCTCAAAAATTTTTCGAAAGTACTATAGTAGAATTCCTTGAGATCTTCCAAGTGATGTTTACGGAATTCCCGATCACTCCCTAAGAAAATGAAGTACATTAAGTCCGTGACGGGATTGGCAAAGCATGCTAGCTGGTAGTCTACAGGAATAACCTCAGAGGGCTGTCCGTCCTGAAAGAAACAGATAAAGTAAAATAACATGTACTGATACATGTGAAGTTACATTATTTATCTGTGAAATACTTACAACTTCTTTAACCAATACATTGTTCGTCCTGTAATCTGTATGTGTCACACAAACGGCTTCATCTGGTGAGATGACAAAGTATGTCGAGTATTTTTTAAGCATTTTTGGGAAAAAGTTATCCAGTTTTATTTTAGCGTCTTCATCTAAAGTCTCCTTTGCTTTGTCAAAGCATTTTCTTAAGAAAACTTCAAATTCAAAGTTATCAAGCTGATATAAAGAACTCATAGTTTTTACATTTTCTTCAAAGTATTTTGGGTTTTCATTTCGAATAATAAAAGACATTGCATGTAGTTTGGCAAGTTGTTCGATGGCCAACTCTGCAAATTTTATGGACATTACGTCAAATCTGTCTAATGTTTTGTAGCCCAAATGAGAAACATCTTCCAAAATAATTACCTCTTCATTTGTTTCGCTGTATCCCTTAACAATTTTTAGTCTTTCTTCTTTTGGAATGTTGTATTTATCTTCAATTTTCTCAAAAAATTTAAACAACTCTCTGTAGAAGAATCCTTCTCTTTGGTATGCCTTCGAAACATTAAAAACTGTAAAATCTTTTTGGGAAGGCTGAAAATTTTTAAGAAATAGTCTCAGTTCTTGATCTTTTCCGTCTTCATTTTTTCCCGAAATCGTCACAGATTGTAATAATCCAAAATAATTTCCTCCGTTGGTTGATAAATCTCTTACATTCACTTTGTATGACGTAAATCCCTCCTTTTCAATTATAGTTTTGATGCTTTGCCTTACAGTTGAATTCAATTCTTTAACTAAGAATATGTCTTGATAACCACACTGACAAATCGACATTTTAATTTTATTTTTAATTCAGTTGTACAAATCTCCTGAAGGGAAAGACTACTTTTGGGTCTTACTGTTTTATGTCTTTGGTCTGTATAAAAAGTAAATTAAGCGTCATTGCACGCACTTATAATTTTCTTCTTTATCTTATCGAGTTATTATTTAATATGATTACTTTTGTTGGTTTACTTAAACAATACAGTTTACACTAGGTATACCTTGGTTGGTCCCAATGTAAATAACTATTTTTTTATGATTACCTACTGAATGGCATGGTTTTGACGCCAGTCATGCCTAATGGGCGAAAACCAAGCAAAAATGCAAGTCATTATGATATTATCTAAAAAATAAAAGTACTTTAAATTCATTAAAATTTTAAACGCATATTGTTTAGTTAAGTTAACTGTCTGTCATAAAATTAATGATCTAGACATCTTACTATCTTAGTCTTATCAGAGCATGCTAGTAAAATGGCGCCATACTGTGTAAAAACAAGTGTAGTACGTACTAGTTTAATGCCTACATGAGATAAGAACAAACTATTTCTTAAAACTTTTTTAGCTTTACATCTCAAACAAAAATTTTAATAACTAAAAAATCTAATTGCCTAAAATCGAACTTGAAGCTCGGAAAGCGTCGTTGGGTTCGATTCTCACCTTTGTCAATTTGATTTTTAGTCAAACTTATGGTTAGTTCATGGATGTTCCAATATGTACCTAATTTAATTGTTGATGATATTGTTATGGAAAGTTATGGTTAGAGATCCTTGACATAATTATAATGGATTACCCCGATTGTGATATGCATAAACCAAAATGATTTTTGTGCAAATCGTTTAAGCAAATAATTAGTGACTTGGTGTACAGGTCCTCCCACTTATGACAAGTGACGGAGCACCGGGGTCTTTTAAGTTGGTATGCCTCGTCCTTCTGACTTGGTGAGCCCCACATAACAGGTAGGTAGGATTCAACGCATTTTTCCCCGTAAAAAAGGTCAAACTTCATTCATCACCTGAACACATTCAGGGACTGCGTAGTCAATGCGAAAAAACGCTCAACGGTTGGAATGTGCAGGTGTCAAAATGTCCATACGGACCGGTTGTTAGTGTGGCAGAAAGTATNTGTGAAGTTACATTATTTATCTGTGAAATACTTACAACTTCTTTAACCAATACATTGTTCGTCCTGTAATCTGTATGTGTCACACAAACGGCTTCATCTGGTGAGATGACAAAGTATGTCGAGTATTTTTTAAGCATTTTTGGGAAAAAGTTATCCAGTTTTATTTTAGCGTCTTCATCTAAAGTCTCCTTTGCTTTGTCAAAGCATTTTCTTAAGAAAACTTCAAATTCAAAGTTATCAAGCTGATATAAAGAACTCATAGTTTTTACATTTTCTTCAAAGTATTTTAGGTTTTCATTTCTAATAATAAAAGACATTGCATGTAGTTTGGCAAGTTGTTCGATGGCCAACTCTGCAAATTTTATGGACATTACGTCAAATCTGTCTAATGTTTTGTAGCCCAAATGAGAAACATCTTCCAAAATAATTACCTCTTCATTTGTTTCGCTGTATCCCTTAACAATTTTTAGTCTTTCTTCTTTTGGAATGTTGTATTTATCTTCAATTTTCTCAAAAAATTTAAACAACTCTCTGTAGAAAAACCCTTCTCTTTGGTATGCCTTTGAAACATTAAAAACTGTAAAATCTTTTTGGGAAGGCTGAAAATTTTTAAGAAATAGTCTCAGTTCTTGATCTTTTCCGTCTTCATTTTTTCCCGAAATCGTCACAGCTTGTAATAATCCAAAATAATTTCCTCCGTTGGTTGATAAATCTCTTACATTCACTTTGTATGACGTAAATCCCTCCTTTTCAATTATATTTTTGATGCTTTGCCTTACAGTTGAATTCAATTCTTTAACTAAGAATATGTCTTCATAACCACACTGACAAATCGACATTTTAATTTTATTTTTTAATTCAGTTGTACAAAAATCTCCTGAAGGGAAAGACTACCTTTTGCCTTACTGTTTAATGTCTTTTGTCTGTTTAAAAGGTAAATTTAGCATCACCACACGTACACTTTCTTCTTTATCTTATCGAGATATTATTTAATATGATTACTTTTGTTGGTTTACTTAAACAATACAGTTTACACTAAGTATGTACCTTGGTTTATCCCAATGCAAATAACTGCAAATAATGCATGGTTTTTTTGCCAGTTATGCCTATGGGCGAAAACCAAACAAAAATGCAAGTCATATGATATTATCTAAAAAATGTTATATGTAGGTACTTTAAGTTAATATAAACGCGCATTGTTTAGTTAAGTTAACTGTCTGTCATAAAATTAATGATCTAGACATTTTAACTGTCTTAGTGTTATCAGAAAAAAATACATACGAGTAAAATGGCGCCATACTGTGCAAAAACAAGTGTAGTATGTACTAGTTTAATGCCTACTTCAGATAAGAACAAACTATTTAGCAAATAATTACTTATTTGTACTGCTGTGTTTTACGTGTATGTCAAAAAATAATTATAATAACTGACAAATCTAATTGCCTAAAATCGAATCTGAGGTGGAATTGTGTAAAGCAATCGTAATCATTTGACAGTTCATAACGTACGATTATTCTGTCAAACGCTTTGTTTAACTGACTTTATCGTACGTTATGAACTGTCAATTGATTACGATTGCTTTACACAATTCCTCAATTGTTTATTAATATAATCTGAGGTGGAATTGTGTAAAGCAATCGTTATGATTTGACAGTTCATAACGTACGATTATAGTGTCAAACGCTTTGTTTAAAAAACTGACTTTATCGTACGTTATGAACTGTCAAATGATTACGATTGCTTTACACAATTCGACCTCAGGACTTTGATTAAATACTTAATACCAGGCAGAAATAGTCCGAGAATCAAGTGTCATTCCAACGTGATTCAATAAGGTAGTGTGAAAAATGTAGGCGCTAGTGCAGTTAGTTGATACTTTTGGCTGATTTTAGCTTTAGTGACAACCACTCTTGAAATTTTATGTTTCATGCTAGTTTCGAAGATACTCAGTTTTGTGCTTGTCTTTTAATAAAAACTTTTTAAAAAGAAGCTCGCATTTTACCCAAACACATTGCAAGTTTAATAATAAGCTTGTAACAATAAAAAGATGCTGCCAGAATATTTTTAATTAACACGCACAGGGACTGAAATTCACTGCCTGCTGCTGTCTTTTCCGAGCATTATATTCCGGGTCTCTTCAGGGTATGAGTGAATAGGCACTTATAAGGCAGGTATGTACCATTCTAGACTGCATCTCACCTAACATCAGATGTGATTGCAGTTAAATACCTGCTTTGTGCTGCATAAAAAAAACATGGCTGCACCTGTTGCACGCTACATCATTACGGAAAGCTTGTATTACTGAATTCCCCATTAAAGAGTAGGGTCCCAGTAAAGAAATAAAGAGTTAGATACGGGACTATTCCCATTATAATATAATATCTTTAATGAAAATCGTTACGAATCTACTTACTTTTAAATGCAAATTACTAAAAATATATTATTATAAAGCAATTCCGTGTGTTTTACAAAAACGAAAATAATCTAAAATAAGAATAAAAATAATATAAAACAATGTACATAAGTAAATAGAAAACGAAAGATGACGCACGACGAAAACCGGTTAGCACTCAAGGTCGAGTAAGATAATTTGGGTATTAAAAGAAATACTCTAGAATTCTCTCTTACTTGATAGGTTATCATTGTCAACAAGTTTAGTATCTAATTTATTCGTCACACCGTGTACATTTATTATTTGAGATGGAACATTAAAGGCTAGTTCCCTTGGAAATCCAGTTATGCAAAATGTCGTGTGTGACACTTACGCTGGGTTGCACCATTTTACTTTAACTTTGACAAACGTCAAAAATCTGTCAAACTCCATACAAAAAACACTGGTTATTGTCAAACTAAACTCAAAGTTATCGAATTACAAAGTACGGATCAGTTTTTTTCCCGAAAAACTGCTAACAAAACGTCCTGTTAACATTAATATTAAATTAAGCTTCATAGGAAACTCAAAGGCAAGGTCCCGTAAACAGAAGTAGCGGCAGAAATCGTGTATTCTACGGAAATATTGGAGCAATAAAACCGACGAATCACATCTAGATCCATTGAGCAGACCCTAGGCATTATTTCGGGGGGTGTGAACAAAATCCTAGATTAACATCTTAGACTGGGTTGCACCATTTTACTTTAACTTTAACAAAAGTCATAAATCTGTCAAACTCCATACAAAAACCACCGGTTATCGTTAAAGTTAGGTGGTGCAACCTCAGCCTTAGAGTCCGGACTCCTTAATGTCATTTTAAGTGGCGAAAAATTTTCGGCTTCTTACAAAAAAGTGATTATGTACTTAGTGATCAATAGTGGCATACTTAAGTGGATTTAAAGTTGATTTAGACGAAAGAAACTCTGTATATGTAGAGCAAGCTAGCAAGTATTTTGAAAAGATGTATACTAAAATAGCACTAAATATTTTATGTTAAATACTTTTTTATACCTCAAAACTTGTCGAGTGACACGTATGACCTCCCCAACCCTAGAGGGTTGTGTAGGTATTTGCTATAAGTAATTTATTGTTTAATGAAACTAAGAAACAATTTATTTCATTGTAGCAATAATGATTAAATATCGAGTATTCATTTTGCTTGTGTTATCTTAAATAATGTAGCTGATTTAAATACCCAAGTACCTGCAGTATCTAACAAACTATGACTCTCACAAATTGAATGCAAGCTTGATAAAAAGTGACAATTGAGAGCAGAGGTTAATTTACTTTATAATAACACATAATAACCTTACTACGATCATATTGCCCGTGGATACGCTCGCTTGGTTTTTAATAATTCCTAAAACTATTACCTACTTTAATGATGGACAAGTTAAATTTGACTGACAGTACAACTTTTGTGAGTAATTTGTGTGGTTATCCGTACGCCATCAAGAAGTTATCAAGAACTGCACTTAATTTATCATACCTAAGCACTAGTACCTAAAACTAACAAAATCTTAAATCTAAAATATTGATACGAACCTGCTATAGTTCGTTCGCGTTTAGAATACATTGTCCGCCGTTAATATTTAGGACAAACTTTTGATTTTAAGCTTATAAGACAGTGAATTTTATTAATTCATTGATCTTTTAAAATATAAATTGTTTGAATTTTAACACCTCTGTGAATACACCTTTATCCTGCAGTTGCACTGATGATTCACTGCACCGTACGAACTATAAAGGATAATGATAGAATATTCTATTTTATTCTCATTTATTCACAAATATCCCCACTGTATAAAGTCATCAACAACACCATGCAGCCTGTCCTTATAGCACTCATCCAAGTTGAATGCAAGATTTTCGATTACTGATAACTCCGGGACATCATCAGTGCGTGCGAAAAGAAAAGGCATTACTATTATAAACATTATCAGTCCAAAGTCCAATTTTTCTCTAAAATCATCCTCAAATTGCTTCTTAGTGTACATTTCTTTAGCCTCGATACCGAATTTGCTCAAAAAGCTTTCAAATGTACAGTAGTACAAGTCCTTGAGATTCTCCATGTGGTTTTTACGAAATTCCTGATCAGTTCCCAAGAAAATGAAGTATATAATATCAACGACTGGGCAGCCGAAACAAGCCAGTTGATAGTCGACAGGAACTACCTTGACTGCTTCTCCATCCTAAAAATAAAAAACATTGAAATAGCTAAAATTGATATTTTAGTCAATACCTTTCGTTCCTAAACGCACCAATAATTAGTAGTTGGACGTCACATTTCATAAATAAAAACATTTTCAAAGCTTACTTTAACTAATCTAATTCATACATACATAATATACAGGAAAATTAAAACAATTTTTTATTTGGGTCTTGGAATGGTGCATTGAATTGCAAAACATCATGCTCGAATATAAATGCATAAACAAGAACTACAAAAATGTTGTTGTTGTTATTTTCAAAATACTTACAATTTCTTGAAACATAATATTGTTTGCCCGAAAATCTAGATGCGTCATGCAAACGGCTTCATCTGGTTCGACAACCATACATTGCTCGGTTTTTTTCATTACTTTTGGAAAAAAAAATGCAAGTTTCAATTTTGCAGTTTCATCTAAAGTTTTCTTTGCTTTGTCAAATGATCTTCTCAAATGAATTTTAAATTGTTCATTTGCTTTAAACACTGACCGTAATGGTTTTATATTGTTCTCAAAATATTTTGGATTTTCATTCTGGATAACGAATGATATGGCATGAAATTTGGCAAGTTCTTTGATGGCCAATTCTGCAAATTTCAGAGAAACAACTTTGAATCTGTCGCCTGTTTTATAACCCTTGTATGAAACATCTTCCAAAATAATCACCTCATCATTTGACTCGCTGTATCCTTTCACGGTGTTGAATCTTTCTTCCACGGGTATGTTGTATTTATCTTCAATTTTTTCAAAATATTTAAACAACTCTCTGTAGATAAACCCTTCTCTTTGATAAGCCTCCGAGGCATTGACGATTGTAAACTCTTTTTCTATGTGAATAATATTTTTCAGAAAGAGCCTCAATTCCTTGCTTTCGCCATCTTCAGTTTTTCCAGTTATGGTCACCGTTTGCAATGTTCCTAAATAATTTCCTCCGTTAGTTGTTAGATCTTTGACACTCACTACGTACGATATGAGTTTTTCCTTGTCGATAATACTTTTAACGCTTTGTTGGACAATGGAATTTAACTCTTTAACGGATAATATATCGTCCTTATCGCACTGACTACTGGCCAGCATATTGATTTTATTTGTATAAACTCGCGTTGTGTAAGTCTTGTTCACTGCAAGACTGACTTATTTATATCTTCTGTTGTTCTACAACTGACCAAACAAGCTTAAGATCTTTTCACATTCATCACCTTTTATCTTAATGCGACAATGCAATACCTATTACTTAAAATGACTGTTTATTTAAATTACAAAAATACACGTTGATAAAATGCAACTCAGTGATCACGCGTCACTACATTTATTATAAAACTGTAAACTGTAAGGTAATTGCACTGCTAAATTGACATTTTGTTATTGTTCTGAACGACGCTTTATTTGTTTTAATTAAATGAATTGTTAGTTTGTGCTGCCTTCTGGCAGTGGAGCGTTGCAGTAGGTAAGTAGTTTTTTCCATGTAGGTCTATGTACTACGAACAGACACGAAATGACGATAAACCGTCACTGTCGAAAGGGCGCGTAATCCCGGTCGTGCGTTGGTACCCGCTGAAAACCAGCTTCGTGACTTGACGACTTGTGTCATGTCACGATTTTTGCTGAGCATGCTACAATAAAATTAATTATCTATGCACCTAAATTTTATATGCTGAATAAAGTAATTCTATTCCATTCTAATTTTTATAAATATTCTATCAATAACTATACCTAATATGCTAAGATCATAATTTATTACCGTCGTTTTAACCTGACACCGTCCACTGCTGGTCCAATGCTTTACGGATTTCCACAACAACCTTCACCAGATCGTCGGTCCTCCTAGTGAGAGGCCTGCCTACACTACGTTTTCCGGTTTATTGACGCCACTCTAAATCTTTCTGCCTGGCAAAGGCTATCAGCTATACGGGATAATATTATGTGTCCCACCCACTGCCAGTTCAGAAATTCTGCAGATTTGATAGGCTGCAGAATTCGATTGGTCCCTTTGATTCTCTTAAGGATCTCCTTATTTTAAAGTTCATAGCAAACTTATCAACTCGGAAAGGGATCAACACCGTATTGCCTATCGCGCGCTGTGACTGAGTGGCGTTTACGTTACGGTTCGGATAAGTATGCGTTGCAGTATGAAGTTTCATCCAAAGAATACTGACCGCCTCGAGATGATACGGTTACGAGTCGATCCCTCTCCGAGTTGATAAATGTGCGACGACTTTTAATTCGATCATAAAGGGAAACTCCAGGCGTATGTCACCCATGATCTTGAGACTTCATATGAGGCCCACCGTTAAGGGAACACTTCTCAGTGCTATACCATAATTATGTTGATCATGAAAGCAATATTAAATTTTACTGACTGGGAAATAATCTAATTAAAACCTAAAGAAGCATTTATTTTGATTAGAATAGATATTTTTAATTAAAACAAAAAAAAGTGTGTACAAAGAAAAAATAAGGTGACACTTTCGCAAAATAAAAGCTTGTGTATGTTTAAGAACACAGACGAGAAAATAAGAATGTAGTTTTAGAAGGCACAGTTAACACTCAAAGTGACAAACAAAAAAAGTGTATAGTGTATTATTAACTGCCGAGTAATTTTAATAAAAGACTATTTCAATGTGTTCTTATTTATTCACAAATAGCCCCACTGTATAAAGTCATCAATAACACCATGCAATCTGTCCTTGTAACGTTCATCAAGATTTAAAGCAATGTTTTCGATACCGTTCCCCAAATCAGGGATATCTCCAGGAATCGTGAAAATAAAAGGCATTACAGACATAAAAGATATCAATCCATACTCCAAATTCTCTCTAAAATCATCCTCGAATTGCTTTTTAGTATACATTTCATTCGCGTCGATACCAAATTTACCCAAAAAGCTTTCAAAAGTACAGTAGTACAAGTCCTTGAGGTCCTGCATGTGGTTTTTACGAAATTCCTGATCTGTTCCCAAGAAAATGAAGTATAAAAAATCATTGACTGGACAACCGAAACAAGCAATTTGATAGTCGACCGGAATTACTTTGACAGCCTCTCCATCCTGAAAGAAAAATTAAAATAAAATTGACAGTGAAAAAATAGCATCTGATGCCAAAATTCCTTGAATTATGCTCCATCAACGACATCTACTCGTAAGCACTTACAATTTCTTTCACCAATATGTTGTCTGGCCGATAATCTGTATGCGTTATGCAAATGGCTTCCTCTGGTTCAACAACTATATATTTGTGGAATGTGTCGATCATTTTTGGAACAATTTTTTCGAGTTTCAATTTTGCAGTTTCATCTAAAGTTTCCTTTGCTTTGTCAAATGTTCTCCTCAAATGAGTTTTAAGTTGTTCATTTATTTTAAATAACGACCGTAATGATTTCATATTGTTCTCAAAATATTTTGGATTTTCATTCCGGATAATGAATGACATGGCATGAAATTTGGCAAGTTCTTTGATGGACAATTCTGCAAATTTCAAAGAAACTACTTTGAATCTGTCGCCTGTTTTATAACCCTTACATGAAACATCTTCCAAAATAATCACCTCATCATTTGTCTCGCTGTATCCTTTCACGGTGTTCAATCTTTCTTCCACTGGTATGTTGTATTTATCTTCAATTTTTTCGAAATAATTGAACACCTCTCTGTAGAAAAACCCTTCTCTTTGGTATGCTTCCAAAGTATCAACAATTGCGAACTGATCTTCTATATGCATAATATTTTTAAGAAATAGTCTTAATTCTTTGTTTTCACCACCTTCCGTTTTTCCAGTTATAGCCACCGTTTGCAATGTTCCTAAGTAATTTCCTCCGTTAGTTGTTTGATTTTTGATATTTGCAATGTATTCCGTGAATCTTTCTTTGTCAATTATATTTTTGACACTTTGGCGTACAGTGGATTTTAATTCTTTAACAGACAATATGTCATCACTCTCATATTGTTCAGTGGTTATCATTTTGAATTAACTAAAACTCGCGTTGCGTTGTTCAATACAAGACTCAGACTCAGATAACTGCCTTTTTATGATCTCAGCCATACCTTATATCAACTAAATATGTTTAGGTACCTTTTAACTTTTATCTTGATACTAGCTTTCCGCCCGCGGCTTCGCCCGCGTGGATTTTTGTCTGTCACAGAAAAACTTTATCGCGCGCGTCCCTGTTTCAAAAACCGGGATAAAAACTATCCTATGTTCTTTCCCGGGACTCAAACTATCTCTATGCCAAATTTCATCAAAATCGGTTGCGAGGTTTAAGCGGGAAAGCGTAACAGACAGACAGACAGACAGACAGACAAAGTTACTTTCGCATTTATAATATTAGTTGGGATTATAATGATAGTAACATTATTTGTTCTAACATTACAGATTTATTTATTTATTTATTTTAATTACACAGGTTTATACCTTATTACGTAATTAAATAGTTAGGTAACAACAAACATAATAACAACACCTTAAAGATTAAAGAGAACACTGCTCACAAAAGGATNTCAGATAACTGCCTTTTTATGATCTCAGTCATACCTTATATCAACTAAATATGTTTACGTACCTTTTAACTTTTATCTTGATATTAAAATGATAGTAACATTATCTAATGAGAATATTTATTTGTTCTAAAATTACAGATAATAATATGCAGTGACAGACAAACACTTCTACACGTAACATAACATTCGGAGATCCTGGCCTTGCCAGTCATTATTAAAGCACTGTTCTGTTTTATAATTGTTTACATACTACAATTAAGTTGAATCTACCTATTCATTATCAACCGACTTCAAAAAAAGGAGGAGGTTCTCAATTCGACCCGTATGTTTTTTTTTTTCTATGTTTGTTACGCGATAACTCCGCCAATTATGAACCGATTTGAACAAATCTTTTTTCTGCATATAGGTAATACCTCAAGGGTGGTCCCATTTAAATTTAATAATAGAAAAAACAACCCCCAAGGGTGGAAAATTGGGGATGAACTTTTTTATACGCAATATCTCCGCCGATTATAAATCAATTTGAACGATTATTTTTTTGTTAAATAGGTATTATCAAAAGGGTGGTTTCATGCGAATTTGAAGAAAATATTTCACCCCCAAGGGTGGAAAATTGGGGATGAACTTTTTTATACGCAATATTTTCAATTTTTAGTTTTTTTTTGTGTTCACGCATTTGAAGTCGGTTTTATTTTTTTAAAAAGTTAATTATTTTATACATAAGTTTTTTAGAATAGTAGAAGTAGTCCCAGTTTTTTGATACGTATGGCCCGGTCCGTGAGCACGTAGAATTTTGTCCAATGACCCCTAGCTACCCATCCTTATCGCTCGCGCGTAATTATATTGCTGTCGCAACTGTGCGACTGGCACCCGCAGTGAGTGTGCGAGCGCGACAGCAACATAATTACGCGCGAGCAATAAGGATGGGTAGCTTGGGGTCATTGGACAAAATTCTACGTGCTCACGGACCAGACTATAGTTTTTATCTACATATTTTCTAAATATTAAATTTAGTATGCCTACATCCAGGCCCTTCCTGCTACCTTTATGAGGTCGTCTGTCCACCTTGTGGGTGGACGTCCACTCAGCGCTTTCCTTCTGCTCCAGAATCTTGCTGCCCCATTGGCCGTCAGTTCTGAATATTATGTGCCCTACCCATTGCTACTTCAGCTTGCTACGAGTAATTCAGGTGATAAGTGATATTAGGTACTTAATCACGAAATCGATCTATCTGTCATCAAGTTATCTGCTGATGTCTACTCTGATTATATGAGCTGTCTTTTAAGGCTTTTAANGCTTTAAATTTATCACGTATCACCTTGCCATTATCCTCATAATATACCTCCTAAAGAATAGAAATAACCAGAGCCTTGGACCAATGTGACATTAAAGGAGTAAATAGGTATTCCTTAGTAATAGAGTTACATGATGAAAATCATCTCCTTATGTACAGACCTTAATTTAGTGTTCACTATGCAAGTCATCTGAGAGCATAATTATTGTGTACGAGTTTATCGCATCTCATCTATACCTACATAATATTATAAAACTGAAGAGTTTGTTTGTTTGTTTGAACGCGCTAATCTCAGATAATACTAAATTAAAAGTTCCGATAAAAATAAATATTTTTGTATTGGATAGCACATTTATCGAGGAAGGTTTTAGGCTTTAACATAAACCCACAGCCAAAAGGGGCGGAGCAGTAAATAAAAATGTTGCAAAAACGGGAAATATTATTCAAACTATTTTCAAGCGTACGAAGTCGCGGGCACAGCTAGTCATTTATAAGCAAGAGTACATGAACAGTAGATACGTACAGCTACAATTGGGTTTTGTTTGCCTACTTGTGACAATGCCTACTGTCTTATAACCATCTCCTTATCTACTACCACGTAAAAAATAAAAGGAGAAAAATATTTTTTATCTTAAACCAACCTTTAATAGTATAAATAACGTAAGGTTGTATTAACAATACATTGTTGTTGCAAATTTGCTTCTTTTACAACTACATTAGATGGCATAGTGTTTAGCATGACGTGCTGTCGTATATCTTGGATAAGATCATTAATCATCTATGCTTGTTCTAATCACCCAGCTGCATTGCCACCAGAGGGATTTAAACCTGCGACCACAGCTACCGTCGAACGTTTGTAGTTTGTAGTACCTAGGTACTGATGAGTAGGTATAATTATATCATTTAAATGTTTTTCGATCTTTGGATGAAAAAAAAATGACGAAATAAAAAAAAAAAAGAAAACTTAAAACCTGATAATTTAGTACCTGATTTATATTAATGTGCAGCTAATGTATTTACGTAGCTGTGCTATTTTTAAGTTAAGGGTGTGTATTTCAATCGTTACCTACACCTTTTCGGTATTATTACGATAATATTTATCTACTGATGTTATTGTTAAAAGGTTTTGCAAATAGAAATCCATTAAATCAGACGTAAACTCGCAACATCGCGCACGCGGGCTGCACGCGTTGGTTTGGTCTAAACTTTACTAACTCACAACTACCTAACCTTTGTTTGTCACCTGTCATCCGCTTTGCATTGGAGGGAAGTCGAACCTTAACTTCGAACTCTGCCTGTGTTTTTCTGATTAATTTCGTTGCGGGTCTAATGACACGTTAACTTTTCCCCTGACCTTCACTGGTTGGGTTTTCATTGGCGGTCAAGCTGTAGATCCTGGCTACATAGGAGTTGCAGCGGTGGGTACGAGAGGTGGGAATAGTCCCGTAACTCACAAGCTAGCTATTATTATGGAAAAAGACACAGATGTGTAAGCCTTGGTTAGATATTGAAATTTTTTGTGGAGTTGTATCATTGTGGTGTGTTTAGTACTAAAAGTGTGTGCCTCTCTTAACTTTTTATCTCAAAATTAATGTAGATCA